CCCCCCCCCCCCAACAAAGCCTGTTTGGTAGCTATATTTCCAAGATTTCTACTAAGTTGATCCCTGTTTTGTACTGTCAGTTGCACCACTGTCTTAACAGCTTACCTCAAACTAAACTCTGTCGCAAATTGAACATTCCAGTAAGGATAAACGCCTGCCAACACACGTGTGCTATTTTTCAAGCCTCCTCATTTGCGCTCTTGACAGCCCCTACATTTTCACCCCAAGTAGTTCTGCAGATATTCCCACAAAAACGGACGCACTTTAACCCGATTTTGCAATTCTCCACTTCTGTAGTTTGACACAGGCTGTTTTGCAATGGCTTGTCTTCGGTGTCACCACAGGCGTTGTAAACAAATAACTATCTCGCAGCGGCTCGCGAACAGTGCTCGCGGTTTTACCTAAACTAATCGATGCTGGTTGCGGAAACATCGTGGTCCTTTCACGGGGTGACTGAGGGTGTACAGTGTTGCCATTGCGGGCTAAACTCGCGTCCGGCAGCACAAAACAACCGTGAAGATTAATTGCAGGTCTGACGGCGAGGCAACGGTACTCGGATGGGCAGTAACGAAACAGGGCCGTTACTTTGTCCACCTCTGTTTTCCAGACACGCAGTAAATTCATCTTAGTTGCGTGATTACCTTAAAATGCCATAGCATTGCTAACAGTTAAAAAGTGAACTGATCTGAACAGCTTGTAGCCGAATCCCATTTAAACAACACTCATTATCGATTAGCAATAATCAATGTCAATGGCTGACGTCAATCTCTGCGTTGAATTTTATCCAATCACGGATGGATAAATGAACCGGTGGGCTATGAAAGGCTTGCTCATTCACGGGCTAGCTGGTCTCTCGTGTGAATTTATGTTTTGGAAGCACTTTGGTTGTGTAACTCGTGCGGAATATTACTAGGAAATATGGTTATTAGAAGGATGTGTGTCAACGCAATCCAAGCAAAATTGGTTACACAAGCCCATGATTTGTCCCCGTCTTTCAAGGGTTCGAGGGCGTCTTCGACCTGGTCGTGGGATCCTGCAAACGTGGCATGGAAATATTTTACCACTTCGATGGGCTGGCAACCATTGTCTACACTGATGCACCATTGATAGTTCCTTTGGACAGTCCTCCTCCACAAGCCTTTCTTCGTGTTCAATTTCCCAACGGTCTGTAGATCCAGTTGGCAGGGGTCCAGTTAGTGTTTCAGGGTCAAATCTGCGATTTTCGAAACTCGGTTAGTCCTCCAAAGTCGCATCCATTGACTTGTTGGTGAGCAAGGACAAAATGATTAGATTTCGCTGATCCGCGCGATGATTTACCCTGCACATACACTTCCACATTCTAGTCCGCTGGCCAACAGAGTTCATCACCGTGTCTGCCGTCTTCTGTTGACTCCCATCCTCCCACACACGACCGGTAAAATAATTGCGTGGGTGGTTGATTTTGAGGTTTCGTTTAAACACTCGTGTGATTCATTTTCATGTGATCGCGCGCATGACCCGAACATGCAAGATAAACGCTGCCATGTGAATCCGCTGGACGGTACGGCTTCGAAACTACGCCTTAAGTGTTTATCTAGTTGGGGCGCATGTGATATTCGGGAGGTAACGCGTCACAATCCTGATGCCTATGACGTTAGGCCATTTATTTTTTATCGTGACAGTCGGGTAATTTCGTATCCGGAAGTTGTTTGCTATTTTCACGTCTTCACCACCCTCTTGTGATCTTGTTTAATGCGCTGAAGCGATAAACTACGGCAATTTAATGCGTTTTTGTTTATCGCTGCGGGACCTAAACCCCCCATTTTGGTTGCTATATCAACCCAAAGGATGGATTGGATTTAAACCGGATTCATTCAGCGTATCACAATTCAAATGTTGTAACTAAGCATTAGGAATATTGAAATCAGCAAATAATGTCTAAGGAGCTGAAGTGTGCTAACCAGAAGAAACCTCAACTGATTTTGAATTAGTACTTAAGGGTAGGATTTCCATTGTGTGGTTCCCATTTCAATCCACTACCGTAGATCTCCCTTGTTCAACCAAACTCACCGTCATTGTAGTCTTGAGCCCCGAAAGAAACCTGACTCGAGTTCGTCGGATTATAAATGGCGAGTTGGCCAAGAAGAACAGGTACCCCTTCATCGTGTCCATCCAAGCCAAACTCAGCAACGACCTGCACTCGCTCCTCTTCGGTGGAATCGAGCACTTCTGCGGTGGGGCTCTAGTCGCCCCGAGGTGGATTCTCACAGCCGCCCACTGCATGTACGCCTATTCCAAAGATGGCGAGCTGATCCCGTAAGTTTGTGGTGGTTGGCTAGCACAGCCCTGCTACTCAACAGGGCTGAGCGGATGGGTGAGAGCGCGTGACGGACGACTTATCGCATAATCGCTGCCAGTCCACTGCAAGTTCTATTAAACTAAATTCAAAGTTGACGCCAGCACTGTACTGACTTTGCGAATCTCGGAGGTGAATTTCGGTCAGAGCTCCCACTTCTCACCAATCGGAATCGATCTAGAGGGTTTGATGTATCCGCTCCGAAGAAGGTGTGCAAGACCGCAACACGCATGAAATGATGTGTCTTTTTTAAATTAAGGGATTCTGAAGGGGTGTAGCTAGACTGCCTCATCATTCACCGTCAATTGGTGTGAGTTACTGAAGCGAATTGGGGAAGCCATTCAACAGTTGTGCAATTCTTTAAGTGGAACTTTTGTCTTTCCACGCGACACACACTACCGTTGTCGATGCTGAGTCGTCATGGAGGTCAGAGCTGTGTTCAGCGGATCCGTCCAAGTCAGGTCGTGATACGACTGCCTGCACAATTCGGTGGAATGCATTCTACATTTGCCCGTTTCTATGGTGTAGACCTCGAGATCTCATCTGACATTGATCAACACTTCTATCCGACCCTCCTGTTAACAGATTTCCACAAAAAACAGGCTAATTTACTTATCGCTAAGCAGTAGAATGGGCTTACGGATGAAATTTTTATGACACACCTTATCAACCATAACGATTCGTTATAGAATCCTCGAGGGTGTTTGCGTGGTAAAGTGACGACTTTTTGCGTTATTTCGGTTCTGTCTAAAACGCCGATCCGGCAATTAGCCAGCTGGGCTCGTGGTGTAACATCACGATTTAGAATTTGTCATAGCTTCTAACCCATCTGCATGTGATGCTTCAAACACTGCCGGAAGTTTCGGCACAGCGACAATTTGCGCCATAAACTTCCACAAGATGTGCATTACCCTGTCATCTGTACCTTTTGGATGCGACGGAGTGCCACGCTTTCATTGGTGCCTCCGAATTCGTTCGATTTTAATCCGCTGTACCTTTTCTCCTAGCCTTCTGACGCCCAAGTCCTGGCACGTAAGAATGTCGACAGACAAGCTGAAGGTGAGTTTCAGTGATGTGGACCACGGCATGTTGGCAAGGCGATGCCTTCGACGTTCACTAAGTTGGGAACCCCTTTGATTCAGCACGCAACATCGGCCGAACTCATGCTTGACCCACCATGTTAGGTATTACTGATTCAAAATTAGCTTGCTGGTCTTAGAGACGAAATTGAGTGTGGTAGCAAAGACATTCTGTCGACTCGCCAACTCAAGTTAATTTTCGTGTTTCAGCCGTCAACCATAGATCGCCTAAAGGGCTTCTTTCATCGAGCATTTAACACACTTTTTGGATACATTAAACCCCAGACTTTCTACCACATCGAGAAATTCGTCCTCCACCCGCACTACGTCGAAGGTAAGTCAGATCAATGAACCAGCAAGTCGTCTTTGTTGAACCCAAGTAGGCGTTCCAATTGGTCCACAGTTTCACTCCGCTTAAAATTGACACCGCTTACAGTTTTTGGTTAAGTTACACTATAATTGCGACAATTTAGCTGGTTTTTTATGCTAAAGGTAGCGGTTTATAGCAGAACAAGTAACCTCGTTTATTCCCACGCCCTGATACGTCAACTCGAATGAGCCAATAGCTTACCTTCTACAAATAGTCAAAGGTCAAATCCCCGGGGTCAACTATGTTGTATCATAACTCCCTTTGTTAACATAATTCAGAGACTAGACTAGTGGAATATTTGTGTAATTTCTTCTTGTGAAATCTCTAATACTTTTTTTTCACAGCAGGCCTTGTGTGTGGTTTGGAAATCCCAAAATGGTTTCTGTATTCGTCAGGTTAAGCTTTAGAACGTGTTTTCGTTGTCATGCAGCTGAAGACAATGTAATGACTTCCTAGTGTTTGTTGCACCTTCTTTTCAAGCTGTGTTCACGCGCGTTTTAGATTATGTTCAGATTAGTATGTCATCGACTGCAGCAACCAAATGTGTGCTACTGGTGTATTAGACGTCTGTAAGCTTTTCCGCAGTGTTTTTCAAGTGTGGTAGGATTGTCCTTTTAAGGAAACGATAAATTTTCAGGTGCTTATCCTAATCAGTGTACTGTAGAGACTTGAGTTTCCTGTGAGGTCACCAATTTGCCTTGAATGACGCTTCGCCAAGTGGTGAGGGAAATTGCGACTCCCACCGACTACATGGAATTATGTGAGCGAATGTTGGTCTTTAGCAGTTGATTCTGCATTTCTCTCTACAGCATTTGGAGGATGCCACTTCTAGCTTGCTATGGAATCTTATTGTGCATAATTGTGTTGATATCTGATGGTTTAGAGTCAATGCTAGCATTGAGTGCAAACCCGTTTGACCTTGGTTACTAAGTAATGTCGACGTGAACTTGCACCACCGCCAGATTACAAAAGTCTACTTGTTCCAACTTCCACCATTTATTCTGATGACCGGAAGTCTCCTTTCGTTCGATTTTTTGCTTAAAAGAGCCAGAAGTCCAATCGACGCGGAATCATGACGATGGCAAAAATGCGGTGAAAAGCCATTGGTCAGCAAGTTTGCTTATTCACGTGTGATTTTGCTCGTTACTAGGCTACCTCGAAAACGATATCGCCTTGTTGAAGTTGAAGGAGCACGTCCAGGTCCATCGAATGAACACCCTAGACGTGATTAAGCTTCCTGACCCAAAGTTGGTGGGTGAAATGTGGCCAAAAACGGGACAGGTACGTACCGATCGATTTTCGCTTCTAGTTGTTAACACTTAACACTTCAATGGAGTGCGTTTTAGGGTTAAATAGTGACGGTCTTCATTTAATTTTAAACCACACTGTGCTGGGCACGTTGTTGAATTGGCACGATTCAGGTGATAGGAGATGGCGGAGGCACAATTTTTGATTTGATAGCTCAACGTAGTTGCGTGCCACGTTCTGAGCATCCAAGGTCAAGTCATATTCACGGGGGTTGCTGATCAATTCAGTCTGCATGAATCTGTAAAGTTCCAAATTAAATAAGGATCAGAGGTGGTACATGCAGAGGGCTGTAAAAGTAGACGTCACCGCAGAATCGATAGGGGCGCCGCGACAAAGGGTGAGCGGCGAGTCTGAGTATGTGACGATTGGGTTCATGGACAATTCTCTACGCCTTCGAATCGTCTACCGCTCCGGCTTTACACTAGTCATTCTCATTGCTTTCTTAAGGAATGCACGGCAATCGGATGGGGCTGTGCCTGCGCCCACTGCCCGCCGGAAATGTACATGAAAACAATTAAGATGCCGATCATCGACCCCAGGAAGTGCAAGGCCATGTACAAGGCTCCGATCAACTTAACAGTGGCCAAGGAGTTTTGTTCTGGATTCTTCAACCGCAATTCAGGCATCTGTCCGGTGAGTAAACCCCCTTGTTGTTAAATCTCACACCTTCGACACGTCCAGTAAAATTGGTTTGCCAGGTGGTCACGGGTTTTTAATGCCCCCGGAACGGTGCTCGTACTCAAACCGGGCCGTCACTTATGGATTGGACGGCGATAACCGCTTATCGGGCGGTCCAAATCAACTGTGACGATGTGTTGTGCATTCACAGACGTCTAGGGACGATACGTTCAAGTGTGTGCGTATTCAAACGTGTCCACGTTCAGAGACACGAATTATTGGTGTTCCAAAATGCCCAAATCGATACATCTAACCGTGAATCGTAATTCATGGTAAAAATGTATGCAATGACAAAAATAATAATGGCCAGTAGGTTAAAATCCACGTCCACCCCCCCCCCACAGCCAATCCAAAGGTCAAAATCTGCTGGTCAAACAGTTGAATTTTTTGTGTGTTTGCTTCATGCCGAACAACAAACACCTCGGTCGACTGACTAGTTGGATGCTTTACGTGCAGTTGAGTATAAAACTACGGATTTTTTGCACTGGAACTACTGTAAACGGTTAATTGCGATGTTACATTCGCCAGTGCAATTTAGTTTCAATGTCAGTGAGGTAGTGCGCAATCAAGATGTTGGTGTCGTGGTCTGTCGTGACTAAAATTCAAGTCGATTCAAACTGAACTCAGTTCGTTCTGCCCTTTTTTGGTTGGTTAACCAATATATGGCAAATGATTTTTGGATCGATTGAGCGTAGTTATACCCACTCACAACTAGCAACACACGCCCAAAGTAAGTGACCACGACGAATTCCTTGATCAGCGCACGTTCAAACTCTTCCAATGTGAGGGCAGATGCCAGACCCCTTGGAGACGGCCATAGTTGTCTCAGCAAGCACGTCCAATTCTCCCGCCTAGATGACCGTAATGGAAGGATTAGAGTAGATGTGGCCATTTGGTGTGACTTTAAGCGCATATCCGTTTCCTCTAGCCATGCCTTTAAGATGCACATTTAGACAAATCCACAATCACGACAAGTTTGCCAATGCCTTGCGTTGTAGGGCGACAGTGGGGGTCCATTGGTCTGCGACTTCAATGGAAACCAGCTGCTAGCCGGGGTGGTTTCCGCCACGCACGCCAAAAAACCCGAGAGCTTCCCGGCTGTCTTTACGCGCGTCACCTACTTCAGGGATTGGATCTTGGAGACTATTAAGAACAACTAGGCTGCCTATTTTATCTCATACGTTTGCACACCCGCCCGGTTGTTCCCCGTTATTTTACACATTGAATGTGAATAAACTGATTACTGTTATTGTAATTTAAGTTGTGAAGCTTTGACCGGTGTCATCTGTCTGCAGGGGGTATTTTGGTGGTCCTTGTCAGAAACTGAGTTCACAAATACGATTCACACTTTGGCACAATACCGACGAAGTTAGATTGATTAAATGCAGCCGCTTTGGTACTTCCAGAAAAGGCTGTTGTTGGCCCCAGCACGTGGTCTTGAACCACGCCGGGGCCAAGAAATTAACCCTGGCCCGATTACGTTTCTCTGATACCCGCGATGAAGAAAAAAGATCGGAGAGGACGTGGACACAACCGTTTACTTCTGAGCTCAGCCACGTTGGTGTCGTTATGTGTCGAGTGTGTGGGGCTTGTGCGTGTGTATTTGTACCTCGGATGCATGTATGCGCTAACATCGAGACCTAGGTTTGAGGATAATCCAAAATAAATATCCGTGTAAATGAGAAGGGAATGGTGTCAGCAAAATTAGTACTCGTTCCTAAGATCCACCACTTAGTAGAAGGTGTAGAATACAAATCAGAAAATGCCTTTTTTGAATTCTCGATTGTTAGAATTTACAAAAGAGGTGGGGTTGGCATTGGTGTGAAAGAAGAGTAGCTATTCACCCTTGAATGTCAGTCGAAAATGCCATCAACATTGTTGTCTTGCTTTGCTATACTTTTGTGTAGCATGAAGTGCGTACAAGGCTTCTGCGCAGTATTCTAAATTGGTTTCAGCCGCAATACTGATGCGCTTTCAATTGGCGAGCCCTAATGTTGGACGTTGAAGCGTTGTCAGATGGTGAGATGTTGCTCGCGTGTTGAACGTTTCCGCATCAGGTTTATCTGAACGGCTTCTGGTCTATTATCAGTTAATTACACTCATAAGCGATTTATTGCGATGTGTACCTTCTGAATCAACAATTTGAAGATGTCTACCTAAAACACGATGTGTACATTTCTTCAGAAATGCCATGATATCAAAAACGGCGTAGTGTTTTGGAAACTTCACACCTACTGAGTGACTCGCCAAGAGTCCCATGGAGACAAAATAAATTGTGCTTACGCAATTTAAGTATTTTACTCGGAATCGTCAAATGCCGCTTGTCAGGCCTGATAAAACGTGGTCGATTGATCAGGCATCGGAGAAATACCACAGACGGTTACTTAGAAATTTTCGACAATTAAAGTGAAGCCCCAATTACCAGGTGAATTTGCGTTGATAGAAAGCCTACCGTAATGGGACACTCTCAAAACCGCTGTATCTGTATAGAAAGACCATTGGCTCATCGCAAATTTGGGTTGCAGAAAGGGTTGGAGTCACGCCACCAACGGATGTTGGCAGGTTGGAATACAGGAGTCAAAGCCACCCTCTCCCTTTGAGTGGTCTAATGACTTCAAGGAACATTAGAGGTGTCATCCAGAGTAAATGATTAATTAAAAACATCCCTATAACGGAAGCTAAGCCCATGAATGCGCATGTTGATAAGTTCTTGTCTTGTTGCAGCCTTATCTCCATGAGAAAACTCGTGTTGTCATTGTGGTTTTATACGTTTTAAAGTAGCATAATTATTTTATTTAAGGCACTGGAATTTGTCTGCCTTGAGTAAGTAAGGTCTCTTCAAATTTTGCCGTTGTTATTTCTAAAGGTAATGGTACGTAAGAATAAATCAACATATTGCAATGCAAATAAATTTGAGATCATAGTTCTAGGTATTTTTAAAACGTCTATGTTACGGACTACCAAATAGTTTCGGCTTTTATGAGCAAAATTAATTCAAAAACGGTATTCTTGAGGTCTCTAGCAGAATTATATATAATCAAATAAACCACTTCTAAAATAGCCAACACTGCACTGTTTTTGTCTATATGTTAAAGGGATAACGTGAAATTGGCTAGCTAGATTCCAGGTAAACAGAAACTTTATCTACTTGATGAATAAGCTTGCGTTATGAATTGAGTCTTGTCTCTTGGAGGTTATCATACCGACATATATTTGGCTTTGCATTTCTTCGCAAGAAAAAAAACTAAAATCAAATGCACATACAAACTAGAAATACATACGACCGGCGAAAAAGAGTTAGCTGTAAAAGGAACATAATGGCATTAAAAAACAACGTAGATAACGATAAGAACGATGGAATCTAAGCACAAAATATTATGCCAAATCAAACCCAAAAGCACATAGGTTAATGATTGCAAGAGCAGTCAATCGAAGAGTGTGTATAAAAACTCTATGAACTATTTACAACAGAATTTAAAGCATTTGAAATGAAATTCCGGCATTTATTTATTGGCACACACATTTTTTAAATCGTTTCATATCACATTTACTAAACGCCTGCGGCAACACTTAAATTAAGTTAACGGAACAAATGAATGTTAGTTCCAATTACCAATCGCCAGTTTTGGCAAAACAAGTGGAAACTAAAAACAAGATTTAAGATAGCACTAACTCATAAGAAATAGCTAAGGGTTTGGGCTTCCTTGATGTTTTGAACTAGTTTCCATCAAAATTTTATCTAAATTACATTTACCTTGTACAAAAAAAGCAGCAACGTAAAAAGATTACTTACATAAGTTTAATGATGTACGTAGGGCATTTAGTAAAAAGAGATTATGTCTTAGGGTTAAATCTTGTTTCTGCAGTTCATTTATTTTGCCTTTATTTCTTTTGTTCCTCATAAGGACGCATCCTAATTGGTTAAAAAGTGCCGGCGTCTGTGAATTTGACCTTCAAGATTGTTCCCACCACTTCTTGTCGTAGTTCAATTTTCTGCTGGATTTAGGTTCGTTCCTTGAGTTGAATCGTGAATTATTTACTTCCGTCAAGGCTGCTCCTTTTTATTTATAATTTCTTTATGTTGGTATGTCACTAAAATCCCGAAGAAATAAGTTATGAGAACATTTTTGCTGCCATTGTTAAAAGATATGCCTCCTTTGTTCCATAATTAATTTGTTGCACTATAGACTCTAGTATACATCTAGACGAACGCGCATAGACATAGACTTGTTCTGTTTCTCTCATATTTACGCTAGTGCTTTCGGTAATTGCGTTTGACGTCGCAGATTGTTTAGTCAGAGTTATTAAGATTAATCTGCATTTGAAATATTTCACTTTTTTTTTATTTAGTGTATAATGGAACGAACTTTGAAATTAGCCGAGTAGTAATCCTATAAATAATTGGGCATTGATAGGTCCCTTGGTTGTGTACACGACGTCACTCTTCCAGTCATTCTTTCACCTGAAACACGACAAGGCAAGTTGGAATTTTTTTCACGACGTCCTAGTGAGTTGGTACTTTGTTTTGGACTTTGAATCCACATGCGATGTAAAACCTAACTCGGGTATTCAAGCTGAAATTAGTAAGCATGGAAATGAGTAACGACTACGTATGTAGTTGAATTTCCAGTTGTCGTGGTTCAAGCAAAAACTGGGCAAATTGTTGATGAATTCCATCACTATGTTAGACCAACCGAATCTCCAACACTCAGCGCATTTTGCAAAAAACTAACAGGCATTTCTCAGGTTTGTTAGCATTAACAATCATCTCACCAGAGCCTTTCAGGAGACTGTGGATGCTTCGCAAGACCTCAAAACTGTTCTAAAGGAGTTTGAATCATGGCTGAAACTAAAGAAAAAAGAACTAAATTGCGTCTTCAAATTGGACTGTGCTAACGCCGCCGTCTTCGTGACGTGGACAGGTGGAACAGTTTCTGTGCTTTACCATGCTAGACTGGGACATCCGAACGTGTCTGTGGAACGAGTGTCACCGAAAACATTTGTCTTTGCCTGTGGATCTTTTGACTAGAATCGACCTGAAGGTGGTCTTCAAGGTATTCTTTGGTGTGTTTTTAGATGTATTCTCAAAAGAGTTGGTAGAGTGAAGAAAGTTGTCGATAGGTAAGGAAGCTTTGAATAAGTAGTGGGTCACTTTGTCGGTAGTATCTCCTCTCTGCCGCATTATGGAACCTACGTTGGATTCACCACATTACGGAGGTGTAAACGAGAGGGATGCTGGGAGAGTGGAATGGTAGAGTGAATTGCTGAGGTGTTTTGATGTCTTTTAACGGGAATGATTGACATGAATCATCCAGATTCACTTTATTCAAATAAATGGGAATTCATTAACAAAGCAATAATTGAAAACTTGGTCGCTGTTGCAACACGGTTAGACGGGAGTTGGGTGTAATGAGATAGAACCAGATTGCATTCGCTTTGACCATCATCTTTATTCACAGTTGTCTCACAGGAGTATTTTGCTGAATGTCCATCCAATAGCGAATCTTGTGTCTTTCATTTTGTAGCGATGGTACTCAACTACCAAATCTGAGACAGAAGCTGAGTTCCGTGGCCATTTTGAAGACGCTGTGAAGGCTGCCGGTCTCTCCTTTATCGGGCGGCCGCACAGTGGCATTGACGATGCGCGGAACACTGCTGCTCTACTGAACCGTATGATCGCTGCCTCCCGAACTTCCGAATAAGCTTACTGCCACAGAACCTGTATGTAATAAACCACAAATAAACAGAAGGCTAAGTGAGAATGGCACTTATTGACTGGAGTCTACCCTAGTCGTCCAGAGGGTGTAAAATGCGAGAGTAGTGGGACTCCTCCAAGGTGATGCTCGTGCAGGCTGATCACGGACTCGGCATTACTGTATCTAGGTAAATTAGCGGTAGGAGCGCGCGGACTAGACCGGTGATGGCTCAATGAGGTTGCAGGGCGCACTTTTTCTCTACTACGGATCTTGAACACACCTAACGCGCATATGTTCGAGTTCTCACGAATTTGTTAATACACCACGTGATGTAAATCAAATAAAAGAAGCGGTGTGAACTACCCGGCTGCTTCACCATATGCAACGACTCATGGTACACTCGGTAGAACGGAATCCAATTCTCCTGACAGCATCCGAATCACCTCGACTACCTACTCTGTGCGCTAAATGCTCATGCGCCAGCCCCTGAATGACACTATAGATCGGGATTTATTCAACCTCGAAAATATTTCAATACCTGCCGACTCTAAGTACACCCATGTCGTGTCTGCAAAACCACCGTAACAACCTTAAAGGCACTTTTAAATGATTTCCAAGGTTGGATACTCCATTTACGGTCCAAGCCCAACGTATAGTTGGAGCATGCAGAACTCTTGCTTAGGCAATCGAGAATTCAATAAAGTACTTAATATGATGCCATCCGGTTTGTGTTCTACACTTTCTACTCAGTAGCAGATCTTAAGAGCGAATATTAATTTCACTGATGGCATTCGAATCTGCTCAAATGCCCATTTACTCACATTTGAGATCTGGATAGACATGTCGTCTGCCCTTGTGCACTTAATGGCAAGCTAGGGAAAGAACCCATGCCCAACCATTTAAACCCGCACTTGTAACGACTTTGAGTTTTACGGTCAAGATGGTGAGTGACTTTGTAGCACCGCTCAGTAGGGAGACACAACAAATGACTGCAAACTCGATCCGGTTCGAGCATTGCAAATATCTTAGCCGCACTTAATCATTCTATTTTGTTTACGTCCCACCCTATGATTAGCGATATGATCACTGATTTCAGTGTTTGGCACAGTAACATCAAGATAGGTTGCTCACAAAGTCTATGATAAAAAACACGTTTCAATGCTACATTAGCATTTTCAAAAAAAGGTAAAGAGCATAGCCTTGTGGGTGTTGCTACGTCTTCGGTTCGGCTGCTTCCTCCCTTTGACGCAGTATTTCCCGTTTCTTAACCCAGTCGTTTCGTTGAAGTTTTTCCGTATAGGCCATGGAGATGAAAAAACCGAGGAAGCTCAATCCAACCAGGACGCCTCTATATCAGCATCAAAGTTTGCTAATAGAAACTCACGCTGCTATAAATCCCTTCTTGATATCACCAGGACCCTTCATTTAGATTATCTACTAGGAACGAAGAAGTAATTGAAATGACTTCCCCATCTAAAAATCACTTGCATGGGAAATTAAAAGCCCTTATTGTGAAAATAAAGAATCCTTAGCACTTAAATCTGACTTTCGGCTTCTACATGCGGCATTGATTGTTCAAGAGATTGAAAACATTGTTTCCGCAAACTTCCGTTATACCAAGCAAGGATACCCAGAATCACAATCCTTTTAAAATAAATTCGTTAAAGCATGTACTGCTAGAATTCCTGGTCTTTTGAGACGAGGAACTGGAATACGACAAACTAGGCTGTTTTTAATAATGGTATTAAATTTTTGAGCAAAGTGATCACGATCTTTAAGTTCAAATAAAAATAGTGAATATCAGTAGCTGACACGTAATAATTCTACCACGGCTATGGTTTCGACTAGAACATTAATCGAGTACCTCCTAGAATTGTAGTATAGCCGTTCAAAATCCTATGAAAACTACGCTTTTAAGGAAACAGATTTTAAGGCACACATTCTTTGGGACCACTTTACCGTTGTGCTTTACTAAAACAATAAGAATTGTTAAACATCAGAGAAGGGGCTACATATGACTTGAGGGGTTAAATTAACCTGGGGCTTTTCTACAAAATTAGACTAACCGCTGACTTGCCACACACACCTAGTAGCTTCTTCAGAAATTCAGAACAATAATTCAGTTTTGGCCAATGAGAGGGCGACCTTCAAAAATCAAGCATTTAGGGTGCGGAAAATCGTATCAAATATTAGCATCACAGGTGTCATATATCAATTTATCTACTAATACTGCTTGCTAAATAACTAATGTTATTTTAAAAGGAGTAAAATTTTGAGTTAACAACGAAATTCTCTTACTGCATTAATTTGTTCATTGAATCTTTTGCTCTCATTCTGTTAGATGAAGTGTACCAATCAAATTAATGTTTGTTCAACATCGGCCTAACAAACTTTCCGGCCCACTGCTTCAGTACTCCTTATGTGTAAAAACGTTGATTTGAAGCCGTCTGTCTAACTTCTAAACACCAAATCAGTGTTATACACAAAATAGTATTTGGCATACTTAGGACTATTTCTTGTTCAGAATGAATTTATCCAGTCTGTTAACGCTGTTTGAAGTGAGTCCTTTTACGTTACACAATTTTTCCTTCAGCCGGAGTTAGTAAATAGACTTCGGAGTGGCTCTCTTGGCAGTGAACTTTCCCGCCGAATACACGAACTCACTGATGATGAGCAGAAAATGTGTTCCATCGATCTTCTTAACTGCTGTCTGACCAAGCGTTATACATCGTCAAATTTGAGGCTGTCCAACGACTCTATTGTTAGCATTGACGCCGTCTTCTCACTCATGCAGGAGTTACCTTTTCTGAAATTACTTTTCGATGTACGTTTTTTTCTGGATTGGGAAAACATTTGTTCTCATTGCACGTGTTTCTTGATGCGCTCTTTCTTACTGTCATGAATTTTTTCCCCTTCACAGCCTAGCTTTATGACCCGAGTCAGCGATAACTCAGTTCTGACACTGGAGCCAATTTTCCGTGATTTCATCACCCAACTTTTGGATGCACCGCGTAGCGACAAAAATGAAACTCTCTTGGCTCAATTCTGTGTGCTGTCTTGGCGCGAATGCTTCACACTTCCTTCTCAGTGTCTAATGGCCAATATAATTTCACACATACTTATTAGCCGGATTGCGACTTGCCCTCTGAGCTGGCCTTTTCTAATGGATGGTTCTACTTTTGTCAGTTCTGGACTTTGTTCCTGTGAACTTGTTATTGTCTCCGTTCTCCGACTTCTAGACAAATGTCTTCATCAGTTTCTACCGTCCAGTGATCTGTTAGTGTCTATGATTGTGTTTAATTTAATGAACCTGTTAATGTTATTCTGCTAATTCGTGCTAATTTCTTGTAGAAATAACCAAACGCATGATTCCCAGTCACATAAGCAGAATTTGATCGACTTAGGGGAGCTATATGAGGCTTCTTTCAGTGAGCTGTCGCAGTCAAGTGAAGAAGACTGGCCGTGGACCGACTACGATCTGGAAGCGTTCCTCAAAGGCGCTTTATTGTTTGTTCACGAGGCCTTCAAGTAAGGCTCACATTGTGCGCTTGAGTCGGTAATCCACTCACTTCAATCTCCTCCTTCCACTAGTCAAGATTTTGATCGAATTCCAGTCAGCGGTCTTGTTTTAATCTCAACAAGGACAATCTCCTTTCAGATTCAGTGCGCAGCTCACTTTCAGTCATTCACTTCTGTCCAACTTCGTTCCCAAAGTGCAGGCCGATTCAACGTTGTTTCTGCGTCTTAGCCTCGGTTTTGACTTCTACCTGGTGAGGGCCTGTCGCCACCTACTCAGCCTGCCAGATTTGCAAGACCACTTTCCGTCTCTGGGGAATAAGCCTCTTACTGATCGTGACGTCACTTGCCTCCGACGAATCCCTGTTCTCCGTCAATTGAATGACGAGCTTATTCTATGTCGGCCCGCTTTAGAGGGCTGTGAGTACGCACATCATGACTTAGTCGCATGGGCCATTGACCACGACATATTGGTTAAAGGTACGTCGAAACCACTGTCTTGCCGTCTTTTTGCTTAGCAATGTCTTTGAATTGTAGTTATGACTCTATTCTGTCCCATGAGTGCCTCTTCTTTTCCTTTTCTTTATAGTTCTCTTGTTATTTGTTTATTGATTTTCTTGAAACCATCGTACTGTCTGCGTTTAAGAACTTGGGGTTAATTTTACGCAATTATAAACTGCAATAAGCGCATCCAACTCACGTTAACTGTAGATTAAAAACTCATTTCTTGCTCTGCTTACATTATACCGTGGAAAGAGAAAAGAAATAGTGTTGTCGTGTGATCTTTTGGGACGATATAATGCCTTGACTGTAACGGTGATGATTCTGTGTCAGCCTACTCTATGTCTCAATGTCACATCGATTCAAGCTGGTAAGAGCTTTCAATTAGTGATGAATTCACTAATAAGAATCCTCTTAAGTTAATTCCTATCGTTATGTTTCTTTATTCGCTTTTGTTAACAATTTTAGACTTTGCGATGGCTATTTTGAAGACAGATGTTTTCAATGACGCCGTGTACTCAGCTAAGTAAGCTTACCAGTGTTTTTCAAATCAAATACTTGCGTTTTCATCAGTTTAACTTACAAGTCTACATGAAGGCAACGTTTGTTTGTGTGTTGGGCGTTTCATTCGAATGCTCGGTCGACTGTCTGGCTTGGAAATTAGTTAGATTACGCTGTTATCATTTACCGTTTTTGTCTTCAATATTGGTCGGTTTAAACAGATCGCGTAGGAGTTAAAATTAACAGCGTCACTCGGTAATGATGCTGCAGCATTCACGTTTTCGCACCAATTACTTGTAGAGTTCTTCCCCGGCTGACTCGACACGTTGGTGACCTGGCGGTGGATTATCGCGTGGCTCTGCTACTTATTCAACGATTAAGTAGTCTGCGGCAGAAATTTTTGCCGACCAACCACCACATGAGTGTATGTTCACCCTCCACTCCGCATAAATCACTTGAAACCCAATTTTTTGCTCTGTTTAGGCTGTTCACACGGCCAGAGATTCTTTTCAACTCGTCTTAATCTCCCATTGCGCTGTTCATCTGACTAAATCTACTTGTCTATAATCTGAGTTCTCAATCGAAAGCATCTGCATTTTAACCACCAAATTCTAATACACTTGGGCCTGTTCGCAGAGTAGCAAATTGCGCTAACTCGCATCCAATCCTGATTTCGTCTGCTCTTCTTTTTTTCCAGTTGCTCCACCACCTGATGCCACTTCTTTCGGCGACTTCCAAGTCAGAAATCCTGGCGCGTCTCCACACCAGGTCCGAACAATGCCCCACACCACTTTCCCCAGAAGAATCGAAGTTCAGGAGCTGCGCACGTAACTTCTTCAATCGTCTCGCTGCTAGTCCTGGACTGTCCGATCTGAATCCAAGTTCATTCTCTCGATCTAGTGGCAGGCCCTGGGCTCCTTCCGGCCAACCCTCAAACATCATCTCCACTGAAGTGAGTTGTGCTCTAACTTGCTACTGTCAATGTTTCAGTACCTGTAATTTTACAATGTTTTTAGGCCTTGATTGATGCTGACCTGCTGCTGCTAACCCGACCCATTGACTTCCTCACGGAGCTTTTGTACTTTCCCATCACTCAACACTCAGCTGCTCTCCTACCGGTCGTCTTTACGGTGCGTTTTGCCGGCTATTTGCAAGTCACTCCTTAATTATCGACACATAATCTGCACGTGTTTTGCATTCCTGGCGTTCTTCCTCAGCACGATGCATTCGCGTCTTTGGGGAATTGGATAAATTTGCCAACCACGCGTGTGTGCACCCCTAACCGACGTCCTGCTGTGTCAGGTATCTAGTCGCACTGCGGGTTGTTAAATCCATTTTCCGCGGTTTCGATTTCTCCCCAAATGACCTTGACATTTGTTTTACTGGGCCGGTTGCCTGGGGAGCTTATGCACACAAACACATACACGCCCATGACAAAAAATCAATTCGTTATCTCGAATCTGTGGCACCAAGGAAGCTGACATGAAGTCATCCAATCACGTTTCGCACACATGGGGTGGAGTTCAGTATTGATTTAAACAACGTCATGAAAAGAAAATCAAATATGCACACAACTCATCCCACAACTTAACAACAAATCAACACTCACAGGAAAGCCTTCGCGTTGATTTCGTCTCTTAGTTTCGTTTTGCAGTAGTCCCTCCTCTTGAGATGTGAATTGGCGAAATCATTTCCTCGATGTAACTGACATACAGCAGCGTGAGTTTGGGGTTTTTTTGATTCCTATATCCAAAGTTCGTGTCTGACACGTTGTGTTGAGACACTAAACTCGCGTCTGGGCAAAGATGGCGTTAAATCGAAACTGAAACATCAACACACACTACTTTGGTCACAGCCTCAATCACCGTCACCTTTTCTGACAGATTCTCAGCCACGTGAGCTACAGCCTCGACATCCACCTCAACGGCGAGAAGGTTTCGGTAGCGCGGAGGCTGCTTGCCAAGCTCATGGCCTTGTTCGAGGCGGAGGAGGAGGAGGGGGAGCAGGAGGCTGGTGAGGAGCAGGGCGTGGCTCTGCTCATGCGGTACCTGCCCATGACCGGTGACCTGGACCCCCTCCAGGTTGCCCTCGCTGCTCAGGCCTCGGCTTTCTCAAACCCCGTCTCCATGGTGTCGGCTGACGACAACGCAGGTCTCCACTCCGGCCGGGGGCTTTGGACGCTCTGTTTTGCCTGTCTGTTTGACCAGGTACGTCTGGACGAATCAGAATTGACCGCCATCTGTGCGCTATTTGTGCCAAATCACGCTCTAACAAGTGATAGCTGGGTGAGGCTAGTTCTGGCCACCCCGCACAAAACCATTTACTTGCAGATGTTGCACGTGTGTGCCTAGGGTATAGCTGGCCTTCAATAGAAGTTCCTTTCCCATGAATTTGCCCGATACTTGCATGTGATTGGTTCATTTTCTCCCAAGTGCTAATCTGCAATAATCGATGTCGATCAGTGTTTGTCGCACACATGAGCCATTCGGCGCCGTCAGTAATATTAATATTCCCGTTTCGAAAACTCGTTAAATCACGTCAAGCATTTATACCGGTGACCTTGACAATCCAGCGACCTTTGCAAGCAAGAGATTTTCCCTGAAACCTCACCTCGGTCATGTCAATCTTGATGAAATAAGGTGCTGCGGGAAATGAGGCTGTGGTCTTTCGCAGTTTGACACGCAATCTAGAGGTCAACTCAAGGTCAGGCGAAGTCATTCCACCTCAGTAAAACAAATGATTAATATCGCCTTGCAGTGGTGCAATGTCAGGCCTTGGCGACCAGAGATTCAACATGCCTTCTTCCACTAAGGAAAACGCTACGATTGTGGTATTGAAAGGCGTGCATTAACTGTGAATTTTTGATGCGAACGATCCCAAATCGGACCCCTTAAGAAGCACCCTAGTTGTGGCAGGTAGGAAAGTAGTACCAAAGTGGACGACGATGTGTAGTTAACGCGGGTGCGTGTGTGATTCTTTGATACCGCTGGAAGCCCGCGTCCTTGCTTCCAGGTGTGTCCTTTTTTAGTGCTTACAAATGTACGGTGCGTTCGTGTCCACGCTGCGCGCGGTTCGCTTTTGTGTTTAAGGTGTTTTCGCGGGGCGCGCGCCAATTAACTTACGTGCGTTGCCGTGACCACACCAGTAACACACATTCATGACTGGCAATTTCACCAGGAGCTAGTAGTCATTTGTTTTACTGATGTGTGTGACCTTTCAGTTAGAGGCGGTTTTTGAATTGTCACGAGGTCGTCTGGCGTGTTGGTTAATTAGAATCACCTGTTCGACGAGGTTGCATCATCAGTGGAGAGCGCTTTCCCCAATTGACACTAAATAACCTCCTTAGCACCTGATGGACGACTGTGTGTCTCCACTTCGACTATCACATCTCAATTGCATAAACTGTTTCCCATTGTCAGTCGTGGATCATCGGCGTCAAAGCCATCTGGTGTAACTTCGAGGCTGACTAAGTCTGTTGTGTTGACCCCCGTGTTCCCCAAGAGGTCAGAGCCGCCTTCACTTCCATTGGATCATCCGGCCAACCGAGGGCATGTTGTGTTTCCACGATCTGTCGTCATTTTGCGCAGTTTGTGTGTTCGCAGTGTGCGCGCGTGGGGGAGAAGCCCCAAGGTCACGACTTGGCCGCAGATGACGACGCCGCTGATGTCACTGGTTGCTTGGGTGACCGTGTACCTTTCATCCCACCGGCGGTGTTTCCTTGCCCGTTCCCGCGTCACCCCAAATGCCCGCTTCCCACGCTTCCCTCAGTTCCTTCTTGGCAGCCATCGTGTGTTGTGATATCTGGCAGCCGGTTCGCTGTCGGTCGCAGTAACCTCTAGTACCCTCCTAAACAATTATACATGGTGTATGACCTAATTTTTCCGGCTTTTTTCCTTCAACCTAGAACTACTTTTGCGGTCTTTTGTGGTTTTGAAAGGATCGGACGCGAGGTTCCTGGAGACCGAACGACAGGTCTGCGTGAGTTACGCAGCCTCTCAGAATAGCACACTTTACGATCCAACTGATAGGCAGCACGTTTGGCGGCAGTGGATTTTACACGAAGTCCAGCAGGGAACAAATACTTCTACAGCACGGCAATCAATTTGTAGTCTTCTTGGTGCCAACCTTGTATCTCGTGGAACGTGTAGTTATTGGTACAAACGTTTGAAAAGCGGTGATTTCGGTATTAGTGACCAGCCGCGCCCCGCACAGCAGCCTCGAAAGTTTGAAAGCGCGCAATTGCAAGCTCTGCTGTGTTAAAACTCAACGTCAACGCAACAAGAGCTTCTGGCTCAGTTAGGAGTCACCCAAGCAGCCATGTCCAAGCGTTTGCATCACTAAATGGGAAAAAAATCAAAAACCTGGAAGTTGCGTTTCCCCACATGTGTCAACTAAACACTTGACTAGCGTTCTCCCGTGTATGTGGTGGGATATGAAGCGTGTACTTTATTTCGAAATCTTGGAAACTGGTCACCAGACGGTGACTGCGGAATGCTGCTGCCGACAGTTGAAGAACCTGAGCGAAGAACTGTACGACTTTATTTGTGCAGATTTTTTTCTTTGAACTGTTAAATTATATTTAAAATGGAAATCTTTTCGCAGTCTGTAGTGGTTTTGGAAGGATAGGACGAAAGGTTTCAGGACGCCGAACGAGGTTACAAGCGTTTTGAAGGTGGTGATTTCGATCTTGCTGACCAGATCGTGACCCAGACAGCAGCCTCGAAAGTTTGAAGATGTGGATGAAGACTCAACGAAGCAGCAGCAAGAGCTTGATAAACAGCACATTCGAAGGCGCTGCATTTTACACGAATTCCAACAAGGCACGGGAATCCATTTGTAGTGTTCGTGGTTTCGACGCTGTGTCGCTTGTGAAAAGTGTAGTTGTTGGCACAAACGTTTTTTAAGTGGTGATTTTGATCTTAGTGACTCACTGCGTCCTGGACAGTGGCTTAGAAAGTTTGAAGATCCAGAATTTTAAGCTCTACTAGATGAAGACTCAACGCAAACGCGACGAGAGCTTTCAGCTCTCGTGTGAAGTCACCCAAACAGCGCTAGCACCAAGTAGGAAAATTTCACAAACTCGGAAGTTGGTTCGCCTCAGTTTGGAGTCACTCAGACGGCTAGTTTCAAGCGTTTGCACCACAAGACGGGAAAGATTCACATGTGTTGACCGAACACAACCCAGATCAACGTTGGTAAAGGTATGATCACATGCCTATCACTGCTAACCCACCGGCTGCAAAAACTGACTTCTTGTGGAAAATTATTGCTCGTGGTAAAAAGTATACTTTTTTGAACGAGAATCTCAAACGTGAAAAGTCGTGAGTAGACCCCGGGCAACGCAGTAGCACATCGTTGGGACATTAAGGAAAACCGGTCAGACGATGACTGCGGAACTCTGCAGCCAACAATTGAACAAACTGAGAGACGGAATTGATTTGAAAAGGCGAGTTAGTAGGCAAGGAAACAGACAAGATATACTGCTGCGACTGCTGCTGCTGCTCCATGACAACACTCGACCACCTCACGTTGCTCGCGCGACTCAGAAGACCTTCTTGAACTCGGGATGGGAAGTTCTCCCACACTCAGCATATTCATCAGGCTTGGCCCCCACTTCTGACTAGCATTTATTGCGGTCAGTGAAGCAGCACGCCTTAGTGGATGAACAGTTCCTGAACCGCTGGAGACGATTTGCGTACAGTCGTCGTGGAGGATGACTTGATTTCCTCGAAGCACGCAAGGTTTTTTCGCGACGGCATTCGCACGTTATTTGAGATATGGCACAAGGTGATAGGAAACTTGTATAAATTGAGTCACACACCTACCAAATCCTCTCTACTACACTGGTCTACCACCAAATATAACCAACTCCGATTTCGTATAGAGAAATCCCATTCTATTCGCCCACTGTGACAGAGTCGGTAGTTGCATCATTCAAAGGTGCATCAAATGCCGTCGTCATCAAACAAGTTGACCCATCACCGGCCTCCGACTCGCACACAGCGTGTTTTCTGGGTCCTTCGTTGTTTTAATTTGATTTGCGCAACGCTTTCCCTTGGTGAAAAAAAAAGGCGAGCAACAGCAGCTGCCTTCTGCTGTTCGTTCACGCGAAATCTGTTGCGTAACAACTGACTGCAGGCGAAGCTTCCTTTCCGTAAAGCTGTTCAATTGAGCCGCCAGATCTCGCCTCATACGCCACAATTCTCATTCGAAGGATCCAGTGTGGATCAGAAAAGTCCAAGAGCTGTTTACAGAATACCAGGTAGACAGTGGTTTTTTAGCTTTTCTACTCTGAACAATCTTATTCACCGGTCGCTTCACAGTCCAGACGAGATCATTCTCTGCCTATTTTGCTTACAAGGTCGAATCCCTTTCGAAGACAAGCAGACGTGTTGTTTGGTGTTTCCTGGTTGCGATGGGAGGTCAATACTGGGGATCCAGCAGTTAGTCATTCATGGAAATATCAACGTGCATGTCCAGGGTGAAATTACTAGTCCGAATGATGAAATTTACTGGTGGTTATGTCATGCCTTATCAATTTAAATCTTCGTCGAACCGACTTCAGAGTACAAGTAGATTGTTGTAGGCCCAGGCATGTGGTCTTGAACCACGCCGGGGCCACTGCGTCAATCTAGGCCGACTACGCCACCCTGAGTACCCGATAAGATGAGGAAGACAGGAGAGGACGAGGCACAGCCGTTTAATAGACAGCTCAAACTAGTTGTGTAGTGTTGACTGATACAGTTGAGTGAGGTAATGGTACAGACGTCTGAATGGTTACATGGATAGAGCGTGTTGTGGGCCCCAGCATGTGGTTTTGAACCACGCCGGGGCCACTGAGTTGTATCTGGTTAAATTACTATTCCCTGATACCCGCGATGAAGAAAAAGACCGGATAGGACGTGGATGAAACCGTTTACTTTAGAGCTCAACCACGTTGGTGTCGTGTCGTGTGTGGGTTTTGGGCGTGTGTATTTATACCTCGGATGTGTGCGTCATACATGCGCTAACATCGAGACCTAGGTGCGAGGATAATCCGTGTGAATGAGGGGGGATTTGAAGATCCGTGTAGCTGGCGCCATGCTACGAAAAGGGGAGCCCTGTGCCGGAGGTGGAGCGACCGGGTTAAGGGGTGTGGACCAAAACGATTCACAACAGGTGAATGAGCAGGCTGTCCCAGTGACTGACGGGCACGCCGTGAAAAGGGGGACGTGTGTGTGTGTGTGAGGCTGCGACGATTCACTACAAGATGTAGTGTTCGAAATGTTGATGGTGTTACTAAATGCATTTGGAATTTCCCCAAAAGACAGAGTAGCAGACAAGAAATCATCATCTTGGCGACCAGTTGATGAAAACTCCTCCGTTTCCCAACATTGACTGCGACTTCCAATGCTCTCAACTTATCTTTGAAGAGTTCCTGGATCATTTAGATGAATTCTTCATAAAGCGCATAATCATCGTCATTAAATTGGGTTGAACAAGTGTGACCGATTGGATCTCAATTCAGCCTTGTGCCAAGTGCTTGTGGTCGTTCAGTAATCTGACTGCTTCTGTTGTTGCAAGCAGATTCTAGTCATTCAGATCGTGGAAGGTCTTCGAACGAACCTGTTGACTCAAAGTGGTGGACGAGAGTGACTACCGTATCGCCTTTTACTGTTTTATCGATTTTTTTTGAAATCGGTAACATCTAATACTCCTCTTGTCCGATTATCGTTCATCGATTATTCGTCTTTATCGTTATTGGGGCCAGATTAGAACACAAAAGTGCTTATTTCTAATGCACAAGTCATCCGAATTGCCTCGGATAAGACACATTCAGGCGGCCAATCGTCTCGCTAGCTATCCGACCACTTCTAGTATCGTGAAGAGCTCAATCCACCCCCTTTCATGTTTTCTCTCAAGCAGCTGTGTTCTATTTCCACTTTGTATTATCCCCAAAACCTATTTCATTCCAACCGGCAGTTAATTGCTCAGTCAACAGTTTGGTACGTGCGCACAGACCACCAAATCAGCCTGCAAACTGAAACGATGCAAGGCTAGAACGATACAACAGTGGCTTGTGCCCCACCTGTAGAGCACCGTTTTTAGCTGATTTTGCGTCGGACGGATTTTTTTGAAGCGCATTTCAGAAGTTACTTGGTCGTTCCAGCAGAATAGTACTGAGTTGCGGGTTGGGTTTAAGCCGTGTCTATGTGTGTTCCCGTGTTGTGTTCATTATCACGACCGCTTCGTTTTCATTGCAAATGACATAAAAGCCAGCCACAGCATAGCTGAGCTTTGACACTTGCTGTATACAATGAAACATTCGTGGAAAGTGAGTTATTGGCTTGTTCGAGTTGACCTACGATTTGACCGTGGCCTTTACTTAACCACAAGAGGGTGCTTCGACTCTACAAACCAGGCCGATTTGTCACAACTGGAAGCAGTGGCAATTTGTAGGCTGAACGTAACTACGGACTAGTTAAAACCCACACATGGCCAAATGATCGTTGGAACTGACTTACCTTCGACGTAGTGTGGGTGGAGGAGGTCCTTCAAAGCGATGAAGCTGCACCACTACGCTCGCTTTGTCAACTTTTTACCAATGAGTTGTATCAAATCAACAGGACTGAATCCCTAGAGGTAGACTATTTCCTCAGCTAATTCGACATAATTCACATTGCTTGCTCTTACCAGTTCTTCTCTGAGTTCCTTCAGAATGCCTATTGTATCGAAAGGTCGAAATTTTCAAATTTTGTAGGCAATCTCAGACAAACAGAAATGACTTTTTTATTGTGTGGTGCTTCTAAACAATTATGGCTTCAATATGAACAATCAGGAACGTTGGACAACGTGTACGTGTTATCCCAAGCAATAATTATTTCAAAAATAAACGGAGTAAACGGTAAATATGGATGCCCACCGCTAATGTTTTAATCGAACAGTGTTCCAACGAAATCAGTGTAGTAAAACACGGACTTAAACAGAAATAACGCGATAAACTTCGCAGTACCTCGTTTGGATGTCTCAGAACCTTGTACGACTACCCAATTCGTTGTTATGACAACGGGCTTCTCAAAATGGGAAGTGAAGTCACTATTGTGATATGGAGGAACGAAAGATGCCTTTTTACAATTGTCGAAAACCAACCAGGAGCCCATATCACCTGGAGATGGATTAGGCTTTAAGTTATCTCAACAGGTGCAGATGTCTGCAGTTCAATTAATTGACTTCTTGAATTGTAGAAACGGTTTTATGTTAATTGCGTACTTGACACCTGTTTTCCGCACTTACCATTCAGCGGCCTTCTTGCATGTCTGTGCTCCTTTTTTAATGGTCGCAAACTGCGTTGCCAATCCACGTGGGTTAGCTCAAATCCCCTTCCGACTCTTGTGCTTTAGCCAACAGTGTCGTTCGAGCTAGCTGACCTGGTCGCCTCGACAACCCACGCCGAGGTCGTGGTCCAGAGCCTCTCCCTCCTCCTGCTGCCCTCACCACCCGCCCACCTCCCCGACGTCCACTTGGTGACGCTGTGCCGCCGTCTCCTCGACCACCATCCGACGCCGTTGGTCGTGAAGATGTGCGTCTCCGTTCTCGCCCAGACCCGCGCCTCGGACACCCTCGGTGGGCATTTGCGATCGGTGCTTGCAGGCGAGCAGAACGCACGTCTGCTGATGCAATGCGCTGACTTCCTCCCCAATGACCTACTTGGGCTCTTGCGTATTCCACTGCCGTACAAACTGGTGCAATCCAGATTGGTCGATGTGGCGGCTTTAAATGAGAGGTGCGTGTCATCCTTGTTTCTGATGGTAACAACTCTCCACACGAGCGTGTCTTGCCGTAAGCTGCAAAATCTAACCCATTTGTTCGTCTTTTAACTTTCCACTGTAGTTTTGCAAAGTCAAGTCAGAGCGGTATAGGTATCCTTGATTTATTGATTACTTCTGCCGTTTGTCCTTTGTACTGTCACCCGACCAACGATCTGTCATGGGATTTCCAAGCAGTACTCCAAGACATCTAACTCCAAGAATGCACGACTTGCCTTTGCCATCTGTGATTTTCTTCTCGGCCACTATCGACGATGACTTAGGACCATTCGGACGTCCAGTCGAAAGAGTTGTTCTCTCTCTCTCATCAAATAATTTGGGCACACTTAAATCGGCTCTGAGGCTCATGATTCTCGAAAGAGGTCAAGACTCGTCAAATTTGGCTTTTTTGTAAGACAATTGAAACAGAGACATCAACGGGTCGTCTGTTTACGCTTTCTAAAGTTGACTGCCAACAATTTCACGAAATTAAAACAGACATGGACACGGCAAGAGCTCATCGCTGAAACTGCATGGCAGTCTTTGTGTGGTCGTAAAAGACTACCTCTAAGAATTTGTGTCCGAAAGCCACGAGCCCTAGATCATTCCCCTCGTATGGGGCCACTTTTGTGACGCTTTTTATCAAAGGGCTCTGTGTATGCCCTCTTATCGAAGTTCAACTCTGCTACAGCCTAACTTCCTATGGTAATGTGAAAATGACGATTCCATCAGCGTAAAAACCGTCTGTGGAAATACCAAATTTCTGATTTCCTTGAATCCCACTAGGGATATGCGGTTGCTGCAAGTCGAGAATTAAAAGGTTCCCTTTTTCTTGACTTCATTGTGCGTAAATGTCACTCGTGCTTTCTTTCACGAGGGCAACATTTCCAAAATTTACCACTGTGTAAAGCAAGAGTGTGTGTGTGTGTGTGTTCGCTTGCGCGCGTACCGCCTCCTACTTCCCCTCTAGGCAGCCGAGTGTTGGGAAAATTGGGCAATTTGTGCCAGGGCAGTGGTCGGTGCAACCCACTGCAAGCATCATCAACATCCAAATCACCGGCACGGCAGACCTCCCACTATACGACAGTTTGTCAATCAAGCGACCAACGAGATCCTCGGGAGTTGTTCCCGACGAGTACTAGCAAGATGTTATGGGCCCCAGCAAGTGGCCTTGAACCACACCGGGGCCGCGGAATTAACCCTGGTCCCGATTACGTATCCCTGAAACCCACGATGAAGAAGAAGATCGGAGAGGACGTGGGCACAACCGTTTACTTCATAGCTCAACCACGTTGGTGTAGTGTGTGGGGTTTGCGCGTGTGTATGTACACCTCGGATGTGTGAGTGAGGATAATCCAAGATAAATATCTGTGTGAATGAGGGGGGAGTTGAGGATCCGCGCCGCTGGCGACATGCTGAGAAAAGGGGAACCCCGTATCGTAGGTGGAGCGACCGGATTAAGGGGTGAGCATAAATACGAGTCACAACAAAGACACACAAAAAGACAAAACTGTAAGTCAGGTGCTGTCCATACGAGTCCTCGTCTGCAGTGCTGGTGTGGCCGAATCTCTCCTCAGTATGACAACCGATCTGTTTTTCTCGAAATGGTCTCTCTCTCCTGCTCATCCGTAAACTCCGCTTTCACGCGCTACGGACATGAAAACCTGAGATTGTGCTTAGTAGCCAGTTAGCAATTTAACCTGTGGTTGGCAAGGTTAGTGTTGGGAATGATTAACTCGTTTGCAGGTTCCTGAATCGTTTCCGCATTTAGAAAATGTGCTGATAGAACAGGTAGTCCAAGAGGAAGCCGCAAACAATTAAATTCCACTACTGAGAATGATTCGAGAATTGTATTTTTCGGCAATAACCTGAAGCTCGTGTTGTCCAATCAACTGAAGTGATAATTACCATTAGCCTGACCGGCACATCGCTCCAGTAAAACCTGTGGATTTTTCAAGAAAAAAGGAGGCTGTTGCGGCGAAATTCAAACTCGACCGTATTACATCACCCCCTTCATCACCCGCCCTGGTTGTGCGTTGCCCCCCCCCGCCCCCGGCTGCAGACGCAGTTGCAATTTTAGGGCCACTCTGGGACTCGGACCGCCCCTCGCGCGGCTGACCCTGTCTGTTCGCCGCCGCCGCCGCTCGCCCTCTAAGTGGTGGGTGTTCTGGATTGTAGCGTGGGAATCGAGGGGATCTTTTACTTGCCTCCCAATGCGAGTTTCCACAATTGGGGGTTTTTCTAGCGTCACTCCCCTGGCATCGTAGGTGCCCTATCAAATTTGTGTCTTAGACAAACTCACTAACGGTCGGCCACCACTTCTTTTATCTATCATACGTCTGCTATCGATGTCAATTGCAGAGGTTGCAGCATATTCGGTTGGAAAGCAATCTCCATCCACCGCCTCTTTGTCCATACGGCAACAACTTGAAACAGAGTCTCTCGTTAACCGCCACGACTCTCAACCCACAGTTCAAGTCAACCTGCTAAATGTGAATCAGAAAATCAAAACTGCATCTATTTGCGCTTGCTGGTCTGCGCGGTGGTTGTGCAGTTGTCAGCGCCTTTCTTCCACAGCGCTAGTCAAAATTTGCAAACTCGATATCGAAGTTGCAAATCGAGGTGATATACCTCCTGACCTGATGTTCTGCCTTTATCGCGAGCCCAGTTATGTACTTCTCGGCAGAAATCCTGAGCCTACCCTTGTCCAACTTGTTGTAGAACTTGGAGCCGAAGTTTCCGAACTGTCAATGGCGTGATTTTCCCCCCAAAATGCATCTCCTTTTGCTCGATTTTGCAAGAAAACGTCAACTTTATTTACTGGCGCTAGAATTTTCTAACTGCAACTTGTCACCTCACAGCACGCAGCTGTTTTCCTTCGCGCCCATTTAGTCCGCGTTGTCAGGAGGCACTGGACATGGGATTAATCTTTGGTGGCGTTTAGGGTGCCCTCCCCCTCGCAACCCTCGTGTGACGATTTATGCTACGACATCAACGTTGCCGTGTTGTTTTTATTTGGGTTCACGCCGGAACTGGCCTTTGCTAGCCAGACACAAATCACCGCCATGTTCCTACCACTGTAACTGCTGGCATTAATCAGCAAATATCACGAGGTTTACTTCGGATGAATATTGTAAATCCCCTCGTCTTACACCAATTCACAGCATCAAAGAGGGAATGTTATCGCATTTGAAATAGCTTAAAGTCAGCGGTGTTGTCCGTGAGTCCATGCCATGATTGTGATTGGCTGTGGGGTTACCACCATGACCGGATAAGACGCCTATTGGTTATCCCCGCGGACGCATTCAGTACTCTTGCTGTCGTAAACTGATTCAAGCAGATCAGTGTCAACGGGAAGCCCTGGATGAGTTGGTGCGGGCACAACTAATCGACCGTTTCGCATTCCTACTGCATGCGTTTTAGCACAAAGTGCCACTTCGAATTCACACCTGCGATGCCTCAACCCGAGCACCCTTTGTGTCACTTCGCGCAGCCACTGTCCCCCAGCGACCTGGAGGAGATCTTTGAAGTAGTGAGTCTCTCTGATGGCACGTGGCTCGCTCTCGTGAACTCCTTCATGGTGTCTTCGTCGAAGGAACCTGAGATCCGCAGTCTGTGGAACCGCCTTTCAGCATCCAGCGTCATCCTGAGCCTCTACGCCGTAAGTTGTGTGCCTCGTGGACATCCACTTCGCTCAAATTTTTAGTCGGTTGGTGACATGGCACACTTAATTTCCGGTGATTCCCTTCGGCATGAAGTCAGGTGAAAACGTATGTGCGTGTCATGCGCTAGATCCAGAGGCTACTTTCTTCACTAATTCGATCATTGGTGAACTAGTTTGCATCCACCCACGCTCTCTCCGGTGCCTTGCTGTAACCCATCACATGAAAACCCGAGGCACAGAACGTTCCAACATCCGTCAAACGCGAGCTCCCCACAGACATAATTTGATACGTCTTGTTGTGCATGCCTACGCAACCCCACTTCCATGCTCAATTGTAGTTTCTCCATCGAATCTGTTCAACTGACGGCGGGGACGTGGTGGGTCGCTGGGCGCGTGCCGTCGGCTTCGTGGACCAACTCGTCGTGGGCGGTCTCCTTCATCTTGCCTTCTCCACGCGAAATCCACCCACCACCACCACCGCCACCTTGAGCGACACCACTTCACCGCCTCCGGACATCCACCTCGGACGTGAGTCTCTCCTGTTCCTTGCGTCAGTGTCAAGCAACCCTGTCCCCTCTCCCTCTGTTGGTGAAACTTCTAGCTTTCCGATTTTTCCACGAGTCATAAAGGATGTTTAAGGACCTGCTTCGCCTCGGTGGAACACGACGCCTTTGCGATCTGCTTCTTACTCCAATTCCGTTGGCTTTTGGCGGCGAATCTCTCTACGGATTGTACGGCTATTCGTAAACACCTGGATCTTCCTGCCTGACCCAAGGATCGCCTTCAATTGGCGTTGGTGTAGGCCATCCAGTGATTAATCGGCTGTAGGCTTATAAGGGGAAAAAATTCGCAACATGACACTTTCCGCGCTTCAAAAACGCGTGTGGCTTTCTTGTAAATCTGGTAGTAAAGCACCATCCGTTGTTGTTTATCAAAGACAACCCATTTGGCGGGTTAATAGCTTTGAGGTGTCAATGCGCTTAACCTAGAAACATCTCTACTGGCTCTACGAATTGCCCGTTTAGAAGCGAAACTCACCGAGCCTGGTAACACGTTTTATTGGTATTATTATTATTATCGCGTGTGTTTAGTTGTTGCTGTTGCTGCTGCGGTTTAACCGCTCTACATGTGGCTGTTCCTTTTTTGACCCGTTTGTTGTTGCGCATGTTTGCACAAATCACAAGTCCTAAATAAAAGCCAACGATTCCGCTTCCTCCCTCCTTCGCCCCTCACTGCCTCCAAATGTTGAAGCGCGACCTTGTCGACTAGCACATTATCAAACACGCCGCCCAGGCCAGATTGGGCTCATGCCTTGTGCCGCTTCCTTTGCAGACCACCGTGGCTCACTTGACCTCTTTGACCTCGTGTTTGGACTCCTTCGAGTGATCGATCGATTTGGTGCAAAGCCGCCGTCGCCCATGCTGGGTCTTGTCTGCCAAACTCTGGCTGTCATTGGGCAGCGGCTGGTGTCGCGTTTCGCGACCGCTCCAGACGCTGTGACCTCGGACCAAGTGCAAGTTCTCGTTGAGCAGGCAGTTCTCGTTATCGAGGAAATCGAGGCATACATTCGAGGCCGTGGGGAACCAACGACTCCACCTCTGGAACACCTCTTGGCCTCTCTAGACCTGGTTTTAAATTCGCTAAGTCGAAAACAGGACCAGGAATCTCCGTGTACATAACCGCCTCCCCTACTCGATTTGCAAAATGCCTATTTTATAATGCTAAATACAGCCGATGGGGCATTGTACACATTGTTCGCAAGTAGATACTACTCATATCTCGGTCACAATTCTTTATTGTAACTCCATTGGACGTGTAACTGTGGCAGTTGCCATTGTAGTTCTTTTCACACCCCACATAACGCATTATCATGGGTCCAACTTCGTTTCATGCTATATCTGTAACTCAAAGTCACCAATAAACATCACTGGATAACCTCTTGCGTATTTTGTTACCGAAGTCTTTTTATCCACCGTGTTGTTGATACTTACTGTCGGTGTTATTTTCTGATGCTCCTCCCCTGACCTAATGCTTCGAATCTCCGGTGGCTGTGGAACACTTTTTTGAGGGGTTCCGCTGGCGGATTGTGTGCTTTCGCGCCGCACCAACTTTGTGCACATGCATCTACACTGGATGCTAGTTTATGATCATGCCAGCATCATCTCCACATGGGTACTTTCGGCTACATGGGGGCACACACCTCGATCAGCACCAGATGGTGATTGTGCCAGGACCGTCCTAGGGGTCTGAATGCCGATCACCCGATGTGTGCTACCAACCCGCTTGTTTGTAGTGAGCGCACGCACCTACCCTCCACAAATCGGTACATTGCGAACAAGGCGCATTTGGAACTGGCGACGCAACCTCACAATTCACGAAGGAATAGGTGGACGGCATGTAGGCAATAGCGACTTAGAATGGCTTTTGTGAGATGTTTTCGTGTTCGTTCCTTCATGTCTTCATTACCGATGTCAAAGCGTCCCAAGTAGTGAATAATACGAACGCAAACTTCACAACATCACGCCCTGACTACAACAAAGCGTAATTTGAACCCAAGTTATTAATTCACGGCCGGCTTCTTAACAAATCAGACATGTGAGTATACCCAGCCCTAGGGGTAGTCGTTTTTCAGTCAGTTATAACTAACCTCGCTGACAAATAATGTCTACTTCAAGAATTTGGTCTGCATTAGTTTCTATAAGGCAAGTTCCTCCCCAAACGTGCCATCTTTCTGACTAGGCGCATCGTCCAATGGTCTATTGACTAGGTTATGGAAATAGTGCTTCGATGTGAGAAAAACGGATATTGATTGAGCTCAAACTGGTTTCAGAGCTAACGGCAAACTTAGCAGTGCAATACCTTCCTAAATCTCAGGATCTTAAACGATTTCTTGTAAACTCCCTAGTTGAGAGATGTTCTTTTTTAAATAAATCTCCCACAGGACATACCTTGGCCACTTGTCGGTGCACGGAAAGATCGTAGAGGCCATCAGTGGAGTGGGGGTGACGCTGCTTTTGGTCCCAACAACTGATTGGGTAGTCTACAATGAGAATTAATTGGCTGAAAGAAATGCATCATCACTTTGTGAGTCAAGCAAGGGCGTAAGATCGAAAGTGTCGCAGTCTACCGATATCGGTACCTGACGAATTTCCATGGGATTGGTAGTGAAATATTTGCACTCTGCTATTCTTGACGTTGATAGAGACGACGATGTTCGAATGGGAAGAAGCGACATCTGAAAGCTATCCAATGGCGTAAAATCATCCATCTGCACATCGCCTACCGGCTGTTAGTACGTGCAAATTCGATTCACCGACACAACTATTTCTACGTATGTTTTTTAGCACCTTCGACAAGTGTTATATTTTAAAAGTTTCTTCTAGCAATCGTCCTCGAACGTCTACTTTAACACCGCTGTATGGTGTAAGGGAGGCGGATCCTGTTTTAATTTTAAACTTGTTTAAATGCACACCAATAGCCGCCATGGTAACAAGTTATCGCATGGCTGCAAATTTGCAAGGAGTCTTTTGAAGTGAACGAGTCTAGGAAACTTGCGACTTCAGCTTTTGCGTGTGTGGAACCATTGTGAGGTAATTTGCAATCCTGGTGGAGATTGTACCATAGACTGCGATACATGCTTGCTTAAACCTTGCTAGTCTTTCCTCGAATTAGGCTATGAAAGCCAACTCTAGAATGCTCAGGTTCTTACTCCATTGTCGACAAATACACCCGTTATTCGAGACAAGCGAATCATATTTGCATCTAGACAAACGCCTAATGTCAGACTAGACGCAATTCCTCTTTGATTGCACCTTCAAAACTGGCGTGTACGCAAGAGTTCACAATTGTGTAGCAAGTCGTGTGCTAATAATGACTGAATTTTCCAAAATACCCTTCGATTACGGGGTACCCTTGTGAAGCCAATACCAAATTGGTAACGAGGAAGGCGTTTTCGGACCGCATCGACCCAGACGCAACTAATCACACACTCATGCCTTCAGCGCCAGTGAACGTAACTCGCAGATGGTTGGCGATGCGAGACAAGTTTAGCTGGAGGAGTGAGTGCAACGTACCTGGACAGGCATCCGGACAGACGCCGAAGGAGTCCGGTCTCAAGTGAGGCAGGCAGAGGCGGTCAGCGTACTCCTCGCCAAGGTCGTCTACACAGCGAACATTCCTGTAACGCGAGTGCCTTCCACACGCATAGGGACACTAAAAAAAAAATACAACGATCAACCATCCAAGTGCTGCGTATACAGACAGGTGTTAAAGGTTGTACGTCATTCAATAAACCTCAAGAGCTATTGGTGAGTCAAATGCTTTACAGCCAGTTGAGCCAATGTTTCCATTGACCTTCTGTCTCAGTTACGTCAAAAATGATTGGCTAGCGCGCAGCCAATCAAACCCACGCTTTGTCTTCTTCCACCTGTCGTTCCGTATAAATAGCCCGAATTCGTGTTTTAAGAAAAGTGTTGTGGTTAACCTACCCTTGTCCACGCGTCCGCTCGCCAACGGTAAGTCTTGCACTCCTGCGGCGTGCATGGAACCTTTCTGAGAGGTTTTCGCGAGTACGCGCACTCCTTGGAGTCCACTTGCTGGAAGGTGGGTGTGAGGCATTGAAGATCGCGCTGTTGATAACCGCGGTGACAGCCATTGGAGTTACACTGCGTTAAAACAAAGCGAAGTGGTTTACAAACCGACTAATTTCACGCACAAGGTATAAAACTGCAATAGCAAATACCCATTCTTTTGTTTACACCTTATCTTGCATTCAATGGTCGGTAGCATTTGGAAGCGTGTGGTTTGAACCTGTCAGTGATGTGGACTAATTGCATTAGAAGCTCTTACTTCAAGACAATTATTATGAGGATTATATAAAGTAGAGATTAATTTGAAGGAACTTACGGTGGATGAAACAACAGGCCACCAGAAGGGCCTGTCTTCTGAGCAGAGCCCCAGCTGGCATTCAGTTTTGTCGACAGGGCGAATTCCTGGACATCTCAGCCTGTTAATGCGCTCCAGCGATCCAGCCGAGTGGTCTCGCCGTCGTCTAGACAGTAAGCGAGGAATGCCGCGCTCGAGCTTCACGCCGGAGAACTGATAGAGCACGGTGCCGTTGGGGAAGCGACAGTCCACGTGACGGAAGCGCCTGCCAGCACCACAAGTTGCCGAGCACTGCAAGACGAAACTGGTCACTACTTGTTGACCCACATCGAAAGCCACAACAATGCAAGCGGAAAACTCACAGAAGACCAGGAGCCCTGAAACCAGAATGGACAGTCCGAGTCTAGCAGACACGCGCGTTGGACGACCGGTTTCGTGTGGGGGTCACACTCGGCTGGGTCCACGTCCTGCTCGATCGTTGCACTGCTCACATCTGGCGGACTTTCGGAGCTGTGCCACGTGACACTCTCGGTCGAGGCAGTGTACAAACTCTTCTGTCGAACGCACCGAACTTGTCGCTCCTGCGTGCCCGATTCACACCTCCCGCTGCACTACAAGGGAATGCGGATATCACTTTCCAGGAAGCATTGGAGCAGTTTTGACAAATGTGTTCAAGTAACCACCGTCTTTGCGGAACTTTCCCGCATATCGTCACCATAGAAAACTTTCAATAACCTGGGACAACGTATAGATACGAATAACATCGACCTCAGATGAGGTGGCTGAATGCGACAGTAGAAATTATCCGTGGAAGGAAACGGAGCAGCTCACCTCGGACCAATCACCGGTACTCCATCGAATGCAGGGCATGGCTTCACAGAGTCGCATGTCGGGCGGTTTCGCGAGTCCCACGGCGACACACTCGGCTGCCGATGTCTCGGAGACGATCGACTCCGAAAGCGAGGCGTGCGTTTCCGTCAGGAGGCATCGCACGTGACGCTGCTGGAACCCGACGCCGCATGTGGCGGAGCACTGGAGAGGAAGGTGGACAAACAGTTAAGAGGATGGGGGAGAACGGAAACCACGTGGAACTGCCGTTCATTTGAACTGCCAAATTGAGGAAGTAGAGGCATACCGAGTCAACATACGGCATCCCCTGGTTAACTTGATGACAGTCACATCAAAATTTCCACTTGAGCGATGCGATCGAAACGGTCTTAAGGTGGCACAACACTATACGCTCATTTTATAGCCGATACACTTCCATCTGAAAATGACGTTACACTAAAGTTTGTTGTGAATCGTGTTTATTCACACCCCTTACTCCGGTCGCTCCACTTTCGACACAGAGTTCCCCTTTTCGCAGCATGTCGCCAGCTTTGCGGATCCTCAACTCCCCCTTCATTCACACGGGCATATTTATCTTGGATTATTCCCACACCTAGGTCTCAATGTTAGCGCATACATAACTCACACATTCGAGGTATAAATACACACGCGCAAACCCCACATACGACACGGTTGTGCTCTGAAGTGGACGGTTGTGTCCACATCCTCTCCGATCTTTCTTCATCGCGGGTATCAGGGAAACGTAATCGGGCTATGGTTAATTCCGTAGCCCCGGTGTGGTTCAAGACCACATGCTGGGGCCCACAACAAGCCCAGGGCTTTTCTTTAGTTTTTTAAGCATTATCGATCCAGTGCTGTTGAGTTTCAGGACTGTTCACTACTTACAAACTGACTGCAAGACGCCACATTCCAGTTAGCGTATATCAGGAAACTGGCAAGGCTACCCTCAATCCAGAGGTAGTCTTTGTCACTCATTTCGTGTATAAACACAGAAGAAATAATAAAAAAGAGTGTAGACAAGACTTTTCGGCATAAACGCCGTCGAATTTCATTAATAATTTGGACGAAGATTCACCCGCAGTGTGGGGAGTCAAAACGGCTTGTCCCGGGGCGTTTTTTGACGTTAGGTTAAAGAGGCCTGTTTGGCTTTGTGGAAGGCTTGCAAGTCCTTGAAATGGGTCCGAAATTACGCCGGAAGCAAATACTCAGGTGATCGTGACAGACCAGTTCCAAGCTCCGATCACTTGGTGTGATCACCACACTTCCTTAACTACGTTATTTCTCCCGCCTTTTCCTCATACACTGGGTTCATAGACACTTTACTCATGGATGAAGTCATGGTCCCGCGTTGTGTGCTAGATTTATGCCTCGATTTCGCGTATCCCACCTTGGCGAGAAGTCAAAGGTCCGGTCCAACGTGATATCCTATGTCTGAGTACGCCTGCAATTTACTTAACCTTCGAGGGAATGGATTGGAAAACTTGAGGCTATAAGTCTTCGGTAGCGACAACTCCCAGTTACCTTCACTACTACTACTACTACTACTACGGCCTCAACCTGTAAACAACCAGATTCTTCGCCTTCTACGTCAGCGCATAACTTATCATGTCATTTACGGGCAGCCAATCAATGAGTTTCGACCATCAAATGGCCTTGACAGGTTCAATTTCACCCCCGACCCGCCATATTTGCTTGGACTCACGATAGCCGTTATCATGGCCCTCTTATGCATCACTTTCTCGATGGAACGTGCCTCTTTCTTATTGCCTGCTTGTCGTGTTGATTCAAAGCTATTGTGGAATTACGGTGTGCTGCGGTCCAATTCCAGTCACCTAAGCTATTAATCGGTGTTCACCATTCGATATTGGTTTATTGATTTCCAAAGCCGGCCATTGTCTGTGGGTGATTTAAATACCTTCATTGAAAATGATTGTCTCTATCACTACTAGCGAATCAAACAGAAAATCCAAGTTTTTATATCTTCTGGACTTCTCGAAAATGCTGTCTCCTAGCACATTTATACTCACAAATTATATGTGGGCATGCAGCCATTTAAAAGTCACGCACTTACCATGGACCAATCACTGACGACCCATTCAAAGTTGCGGCTACGACAAGGGGGATTTGAACAGGTCATGACAAGTGGCTTTCCAGGCGTGAAGGCGACCGGACGAAGGTGCGGCGCACGCTGGAAAGCCTCCATTTCCTCGGCGGAGCCATTTTCAACTATGAAAACCGTGAAAGCGTCTCCGCGATTGTCCACCAGGAGGGACACGTTGGAACCGAGTCTGTAGAGACAGTCAGCTTCGCTGAGTGGCGTTATAAGAGGTCCGGACGCGCGTAAGATTTCCACCTTCTCACAGGCCAATTGACCCACCCGCTGACCTGTTCCACAGGTTGAGGAACACTGAAGCACAGAAGCGGATACAATCGGTAAAATGTCCACGCCTTTGGCAACTCAGGCATTTGGATATTTCTCAGTTGTGACCGACTTGGACTCTTTTCCACCCGATGTTTTGACGAGTTTCACGAATTCACTCTTCTGGGAGACTGTAATTAACTACCAGTGCTTTTCAGTTAGCTAACCAGCACTGAAACTGATATATGCAAACTGAAAGAACCACCAAGATCTACAATTGTGACGTTTATTTAAATCCACGTGTGCAGTAGAAGTAGACCACGACTTGAGTCCGTTCACACGACAAGGAGACCACGCCTTTCCAGGACCCGATGCAGTTCCTTCCACTTCCCATTGGTTCTTTTGCCTCGAAACCTGCTAGGGTAACAGCCACCTCTGGGGACCACCTGCGTGTACTTTCCCGGACTTGGGGTGCTGTTGTTACTGCTGGTGTAGCAAGAATTATATGGCCTTTCGTGCATCCCCACGTGCCTGGTAGAAATTCAGAGCTGCGTAACTGTGCAGGGGCCAGAGAGTGAGAGAGAGGGAGCGAGAGAGAGAGAGCTGCACGCATCACACATGTGCATGGCGATAAATACGACAGGTAGATGAAGAATGTTCACCCAAAATGCGCAAATCCACTTTATATCCCCTCTTACTGCCTTCCACCCTTCATTCAATGTGTGTGCGCTTTCAACACGATCAATGGTTACGCTAAGAACACAAAAGGCCCGTTTGACGTGCTGTTTTCACACGAGACGTCCTACAAATGTCACGATGTACTCAGGAAAACTGATTTTTACGACACGTTATTCCTGATTTGAACCTGGTTTGATGCAACATTGACACAAATCGTCCGATTACCGCCATCAGTTGCAATCTACCCCAAAATTGAATTAAGAGAGCTAAAATGGAATTTCTCTAGCAGTACGGCTGTGCTGGCCACCGAACCAACAGCGTGACTGTTCAAGGTTATTAGGTTCTCGTAAATCAAGATAAGAAGATCGCCTTTTGGCCTATAAAGCATCAGCACTGTCCACAATAAACTAGTCTATTCTTGGCTTTCGCAGTTCCATAAGAGATGCGGTAAATTCAAGCCGTTTGGCTTTGGTAAAAAACATACAAAAGCACTACATGTGATGTCCGCCTGCCACTCACCCTTTATCCCAATGGGCGGTTTGTTGGGTGTGTTGACGTCAGAGGTGAGCGCAAACGATACTTCAAAGGAATTGGCACCCTCCCAACCACCTCGGGATGTTTGTTGCAATCAAGCGTGCACTGAACTTACCTGTGAAAACTGCACGGCTGTCCAGCGATAACAAACGCGGTCAAGGGTGCAGGCCTGCTGTTCGGCCGGCCTGGCGACCTGTCCGCGTTCGCAGTAGTAGTGAGGAGCCTCGTGTTGGGAGTCGCTGCGCGCGGCGGACCGCAGCACACACGTGACGGTGCGCGTCTGGACTCCAGTGAAGGCAGCGGCGCCGGACAAGCCCTGGGTCTCCCCGTCGAGGTGCCGTCTCAGACTCGACTGGCACAACGAGTCCAGTTCGGGTTGGCCTACTGATGGCCGACACTCGGACCACGGCGTGGTGACCCAGTCGAAGTCACCACCACATCCCGCCACCCCAAAGCACTCCGCCGACTCCGTGGCGACGACACCCTCAGTTCCTACCAGATCGCCCTCCGCTGGAGCCGGAAGGTGCTGCAGGCATTCGGTGATGGGCCAGTGGTTTCCGGAGTCGTCGACACACCTGATGCTCCGCTGCTTCTTCCCAGAGCCGCATCTTTCCGAACACTGAAGAATGAATTCAACGTCAAATTTCCACCCAATTAGACGTTTAGAAACAACTTTTGAACATTGGTCGGAAAGTTGTCTATAGAAAATTGACAATAAGCCGAGAGTTACTGTACTAAAAAAAAAGACTTGCGCGATATTCTCCAGCATTTATTGACCCGAATTGAATACCTCTGCTTCAGTGCGAGTTTGCTCACTCAAACACGCTCAGCACCTAGGCGACCTACTCAAGTACATCTAATTGAAGGTTCATGCGTTCAAAAATTTGTTTCCGAGGGGCCCAAAATTGAGTTTGGGAGAACCTTTTCCCTATTGGCCGAATCATATCACCAAATTCAGCCACTGACCAATCACCCCTTAAGTAAATTTGGCGTGAGTTTAAAAACGCTATAGAGACGTTTGAGTACCAGACGTATTGAGACTGTTGTCCACGGATCAAATGAATGTTTCGCTAATCCATTTGGTAATAAACAACAGCTAGATCAGTTAAGACAGAAAATTCTTGGCATTGCTAGTTGGCAAACGATTTTCTCGTGACGGGGTTTGAGAACGTACTTCGTGCCAATCGGAGAATACCCACTGGACGGGTCTGCAGTCACCGACGCATCGTTTAGTCACCAGCCTGTCCTCGGGCGGTTCGCCAAGTTCAGCCTTGATGCAGGCATACGAACCCATCTGGCTCTCGCGCCACACCGTCTGGCCAACCTTCTCCTCGCAGACAGCGACGAAGCGGACGTCTGTGTGGCCCTCACCACAGCGCGCCGAGCAAGGCGGTCGAGTGGCAACGCGGTTGGCCAACGCGCTGGAGGCGTTCACCTCCCTCCACGACCATCGGACACCGCAGTAGTCAGCGCAGTTGCGTGTCACCGGTGGCGGCCGCGTGTGCTCACCGCAGTAACGCGCCGGCAGTGGACGCAGAGCGTGCATGGCGTAGCGTTTCGCGATCGCTCGGCTTCCAAACACTGGGTAACACGAGGCGTGACTCTCGACGGTACCTTGAAACACAGACAGAAGAAAGACTTGGGCTACAAATCCTTCCAATGCGTTTGATTAGTGCGTGCAAACTCCCCACAGGTTCGTAATTGGGTCAAATTGTGTGTGATCACTGTGGGTTAATCTCGTGATCGGACATTATGCATTATTTCATTAGCAGTTGCTCGCAACGTTATTCTAAGCAGCACCAAGTTGAACACACATGGCAACCTACTTGATCACTTTATTGAAGTTGTAAACAATAAATTATTTTCTTAGCCAAAGGCATCTAGTCGGACCACCCGAAGTGTGCTTATGTGTACATTTGACGCTGTCAGCAGCCGTTCACGACTTGACAAGCGCGTTGTCTGGTGTAAGTCGCGTAAATAAGCTTCATTCGCTTACTGCAACGTGTGTTATTTACTTTATTCCATACACCATTGCAAAAAACCTCTCTACACGAAGATGCCGGCAGTGCTTATCCGAAAGGTACTGTCGCATTGTGTAGACTTGGTGCCAATAGTTCACGTGTAGTTATCGCGAAAAACACCTACGACAGAAATACAGACGAGTACATGTCGCTTTTTCAATGCTGAATCAGTAGAATTCTTATTTCTCGTTTGCTTGTTCATCAGTTCTGCGTACGTTCGTCGGATTTCTTTCTTTCTGTAGGAATAGTTTTAATGTCAAGTTGTTTGGTCCTTTTGACAACGTTAGACGAAAAATTCCATGAATGCAAAGGTCTGTTCAAGCTTGGGAAAACTGATAGAAGACAACTCAATGAGATAGCACAGCTTCTTTAGCTTCAAGGTATTTAAATTTTCAAGCAAGATTCGTGCGGATGACAAACGTGCTAGGATTAGTTGCCGAAGAAGCGAAAATTCTAGATCAAAGATGAACTGAGGGTTTGCGTAAAACACCGAAAACAGCGTCTGAGACCAACCTGCACAACTTGTACACTCCTTAGGAACTTCATCCATCTTCCATTCAAAGCGTATCGATTCTTCCGGGGGCTTCGAAGAGCTGGCAGGGTTTGTAGGTTCAAGGGGTGGAACCGATTCCACGCTCTCGTCGTTCGGCTCCTCCGCCGGTGCTTCCTTGCGTGGGGATCGAAGGAATCGCAGCAGGGGGTCGTCGTACTGCTGCTCCGCGATTCTCAAGGGGTCAAACCGGAGGTGGTCGCTGGCGTCTTTGCTCACATAGTAGACGTACTCGACGTCCGGAAGTGGTAACTCAGTGTTCTTATTCTCCACACGTATCTGAAAGCGAAGTTGAAATACCAGTGATGCATTTACTTGTTCCAGAATTAGAGGGGTTTTCCTGGAGTCGCGGCCCACGCCCAAATAATCTTTGACCAATAAACTTCGGAAAAAAGTTGTTAGCCTTGCAATAGAGCTAGTTCTTATCTAGTCCTTGCGTGAATTCGAATGACACCGAACATTTTAAGGGCTATGTTATGCACGCACTGCTGGCTTTTACAGTGTCCACAATTGTCAAATCCCATTCAATGTCAGCCAGAATTTCTTTCTTTGCGTTGTTTTTATGATGCATGACGCCAAATATTGAAAGAAGGCACACTGCTTTTTCGCATTGCATCTTTTTAAACGAAATGATTGCCACATTTGGCATTGTCGAAATATTACTGGCGGCCGACGCGTGTGCTTCCAGTAGGCTTCGGGTTCGGAAATCACACACACAATTTAGAAATAGCCAAAACATGGCGGATTTTGATGTGAGACCTCATTATGGACAGCTAGAGGAGGCAAAGGAGTCGCAGTTTGCCCCAATGGGCTTACTTTGAGTTGATTAGTAGCTGTCACACATTCCCTTGGCCTTTTTTTTCAGGCTGCCTGGGTACCAATGGGTAATACGATCGCAAAATACTCTGCCAATCGCTAAAGCCGTCGATTTAGCCGAGTCTACACGGCGGTCGACAGTGCAACCACTAAGCAGACCTCCGCAACCCCCAATTTAGCCTGCGTCCCCCTCCGAATCTTCAGCAACTTGATAAAATTGTTTGTGCGTAATTGCCTGGTCATTGGCATGTCTAAGAAGCACTAATTGCATCACTAGGGAGCAAGTTTCACATCCCAGGGGGGCTTTGTAATAGCCACACTCTCCTTAAACAACCAATCAGATGCGAGCACGCAGTGGTGGATTTCTTTCCCATGAAAATGCACTTGTGGTTCACGGTTTTGCTAGTCGTTAGTACAAGCGTCAAGTTGAAAGCATTATGATGCCTTGACAACGTGATTAATTATCTGCACTAGCGACCAAGTCTAATTTCGTGACCGCGTACACACACACACACAGTCACACTCTTAGTGGGCAGGAGAATTCGCAAATTACACGCACCGGCTCTGAACAAACATGGAATATGCCTGCGTTCGAAATTCCTCGTTACAGTTAAGACTGATCGACCACGGCGCATGGTTTATTAAATAAGCATGCATGGGTAGTTTTTGTGAATTTTGCTATGCTGTCGGTGTTGAGAGCGCGCCATGGGGTGACATTTGAAAAACACCAACCTTTGAAAGGAGTGTGTGTAGATATAAACGAACTTTTTCGGTCGAAGACACGGATAGTGTTTAGCTAAATTTAACACCTCTGCGGCGGGCGTGTTCGATAAGAAGAAAAAAAGCAGCCTGATGGCGTCCGGTCTGGTGGTCAAACTGGACTTACGAAATCGCCACAGACCATGCAAAAACTCACAAATAACCCAAAGGATTCCAGCTAGAATTCAACCGAAAAGGGCAGAAAGAGACATCAGTAAAGCTTTCGCCTAAGCTGAATTCATGAATTATCTCCAGCCACACGAAATATCAATTGGAAGTATCAACAAAAAATTAGTCGAATTTAAAGCGAATCGCACACAGAATGGCTTCGACAACTGACATTCAGATTGGAACTAGTTGTGTTAGCTAGTGGCTATGAACTAGTTGGGAATTCTATCTTTCAAAAAACAGTTTGTGTTGCGTGAGTTAATGTCGCTTGGGTTTTGTGAAAATGTGGAAAATGTTATGGGACTCTGAAGATCGTTGGCTGATATTCCGGTGATTCCAAAGGTGTCATATTAAATTTCGATGCCATTTGACCAGGTCTTCCGACATAGATTGAACAAAAGCGTAGAGGGAACACTGACACATTGAAAAACGATGTTAATAAGGCGTCCTTTCCACCTATGTGTGCCTGAAGTTTGAATAGAAACCGGTACGTACCAGAATGTTGACGTTTTTGTTAGTTCTGCCTTTGATTTGCACGATCTCCTCCCTTCCTCGACTGCCGCTGTAGTAAAGTTCTGCCCCAGCGAAGGGTTCCCTCGTTTCACCACGACGGATTCGTGTCCTTAACTCTTCGAATATCACTAGATATGTTGGAGAAAAACAGGTCCTACAGTTCATAGACGTACAAACCGAGATAATATCGACACAGAAGACGTATTGCTGGCGAAAGTACGAGGTCAAATGCCATTTGATAGAACTGAACACATTGAGGCCTATGTAATATTTGCAGTCAGCGATGCCAAATGCTCAATCAAGGCAACGATAGACACGTCCACGAGCAACAAAGATTGCATTTTTATGTGTAAATATAACTGCATGCAGCGTGAAGGAGGATCACAACACTTAGATGAGGCAAAGACTTGACGCAAAAACATAAAATCAGCAGACAGGCAGTTGACTGGAATTGCTAATCTACAAAGTCCAACCGTCCACACCAACGGAAGGCTAGTCAGAACACCTGAACACAGATCGAATTACAGCGGACGAGCCTAAAGCGCCCGTCTTCTTCGAAGGAGAGAGGTCTTAGGGATCTAGAGTTGCCCAGGACGGCTCATTGCGGGTTAGATCTACTGTCATTCTTAACACAATTCCCCTAAACACGACGCTTCCGAGACCTTAAAAGCTATCTCCACGAGGTCCTCTCTTGTCTAGCGTAAGGCATAGGAACTGAAGGTGCTAGATATCCGCGACACGCACGAGGAAATTTGATTAAGGGGAGTATTCTTACACAGCATGAAGTCGTCGTAGGCGTCTGACGAATAGGGCGTTGAGCGCTGCGAGACCTTTTTGATGTAAGCGTTGGTCACTCCCTGGGGAATGTGCACGGCAACAGTCAAGCCTATAAGGGCGACAAATAAATAAAGTACAAGCACAAGTCCCTAACAGATGGGCATTTCTTTGTTTAATTGACTCAATTCCTTTTTATCGCAGTTGGTATTAGCATAATCGTGTGTGTGGCGAGAACTTCAGTTGTTGGTGCTAGATCAACTGGAGCCCCTATCAGCTGGTACAAAAGGTGACCCTGACGGTCAGGTAAAGCCAACGTACCGACTGGTTTGGCACCGGGAGCCAGCGTGTCCGAATGTCGGAAGACGCCACTGACAGCGTCGCAAGTGGTGTTATCACCGCCACACACGTTGCAATTGTCCGTCTGCATCGCCGACCCCAGGACCTTGTCGCAGCCTGCTTGCTACAGAGGGCGAGAAAGGATAGTCGTCAAGTAATCTGCACTGCGATTTGTGGGATTTAGTCTCCTCTCACGGATTTACCGACCTTAAAGTACGCCTTCTCGGACACAATTTTGGTTACTTAACCCATTTCGGTTATTTACTAGCATTGTGGCAATTCTACACCATGAGTGGACAACGGGTTTTTGCCACGCATATTCATAGAGATCAGCAGGTGGTAGTCCTGCGAGTCTTAAGCCTTCACACCTTCGAATCTTAGGCGTTGGAGTCACTGATGTGTTGGTTTTCTCGTCTTGGGCTCAGAAAGGCGCACTAAGGCAACATCTTGCTTCGTGGCAGCTCAAGCAGTGGGGACAAATGGATACTTGGAAATCGGTAGACTACCAAGGGGGTTGGAAATCCGTTGACAGGAGGAATGGACGTGAATCATAAGGGTTTGTTTTAACACTTTCACGTTCCTACGAGGGTTGACCACACACGACAACGTTCTTTTCTCTTTAATAAGGGATTGAGCCTCCTTTCCTCTGCTACATCGGGTTGCAAGAACCCCAACAAGTCAATTGTCTCACGTCGAACTTAACTTCTTGAAGTGGTTGCATTCTCTGTGGTGTTTCAACTGTTCTTGATTCTTGTCCACTAATCCTTTTTCGCGGCGTCTTTATCGATCGTTAGGAACCCTCTGTTCGAACACCCCTACTACTCATTCCTTGCCTCTGGCCATTCAGTTATTTGTACTTATACAAGTTCACTCAGACTGACTTGATCAATACAACCCAGTTGTCAGACATGACCTTTTATTCGCAGTTGAGCTAACCAATCAACTATTGTGTTTTCAGCGAAATCGGACCAATAAAGCGCGATGGCTTTGTTGGGACTTAAGATCGCATGCCGAAACCTTCAGCACACATCGCGACCGACATATGAAAACACACTCTTGCGTGTCTTACCCAGCACTTTCCCTTGATGCAGATGTCGTTGCCAGGCTCATAGCAGGGTGTTCCGTCAGGGAGGCTTTCGTTGTGTCTAACTTCCTTTGATCCGTCGAGGCAGACCAATTTGCAGGCGTTTCCACCACCAACTAAGAAAAAGACAGCAATCAAATTACCCGTACATGGTAACTTCGGTCCACCGAAGGGCTTTGCACAGCAAATTGAGGGGTGGTTTTTGCGCAGGAGAGGGTTACCTGGTCGTTATGCGCCTCTGTTCTTGCGCAAATGCAAAACGCGAACATAGAGGACCGTGGAAATAACAGAAAGTCATCCTTTAAGTGGGATCAGGGGCAGTGGCATCACGTTAAACAACGGAATTTTCGATAAACCCAAAACTAGTACACCACTTAGCGGCTTGTACCATGAGTACTATTAGAACAAATTCATTCTACTGCATAATGACCAGGAAGTGCGTGTGTTGACTAGAACACATCAAATTGAGCTGATTATGGTAACATGAAGCCGCCATTAACACAGAAATGCTGATGCTTGTGATGCTTGTATTTGCAATCAACTGATGGTAAATAATTTAGAGACGGAAAATAGCGAATTAGCTAGCAAGTTCACTCCTGTGTCAACGTTTCGAAAGACGCTTCAAAACGTCTGTGGGAATGCGACAACCCATTGCGTCAGACAGCTTGAAGCATGCCACAGAACATCGATTTACAGTACCCAATAAGATGGCAGAACGTGTGCTAAACCTTTTCCCTGATAGCCTAATTTTCCTTGATAGCCTTAACTTTCACTGGCGCTCCAGTTCGGTATGGTATTTGTGCAAGGCTGCGTGAAGGATTACAGTTTGATTCGTCCGCAAGCCGCATTACCAACAGTGTGGAATCGACATCCACCAGTTCTCCGACTCACCAACATCAAGTCGTGTGCGCTTCCGCACAATTATTCAAAGCCAACCAATCATTTTCGCGCGTTGGTCAAACTACCAACTGGAAGACTTACTGCTTGGTTTGAAGGCTTGCAGGCGCTTGTTCACTTCGTGGCCGACCTTGTCACACAGTTGCTGGCGTATGTCCACCACGTGTTGACAGTCCTGGGGGTGGTCGAAAGCGAAAAAATCAGTTTTTGGTGAAGCTGAGCAAAAAATCTTTTCATGATCCACATAAGTGTATAAATGTGACCATTAAAATAACTCACCTGAACATTGCAGGAGCGCACTCGAACGTTTGTTCCAAGGCAATGTTCCCCTCCATTTTGAGGTCTGCAAGCAAAAAAAGAGTGCTTTGTACCTCACAAGAGGATTCAATCACTGATTGTGAGTCTGTTGACTGACCTCATTGGTTAGTTAAAACGGTTAGACATCCCCCCCAAGTGCGAGTCCCACCTCCTGATAACCGATTGGGGGGTATTTCCCAGCCCCCCATCTGACTCACGCGGCCAAGTTTACCACAGATGTCTCCATCAGGCACAAAATTGAAGTCACGTGACATTTGTGAGACTGAAATTCAGTCAACACTTCTCTTGGGTTCTCCGGAAAGGTAACTGTTCAACAGGTGATAAATTTGGGTGGCAGGATTACGTCTGGTTCCATGTCTGTCAACTGAAGCCCCATTAATTCAAGAATTCTAAACATCCGGTTCGATTTCTCATCCTCTCTGAAATATTTTGCTACAGCAGATACCTCCACAACCACCTTCGACAAGGCGTCAGCACTTTCAAGTCATGTTGGTGTTGAAAGCTTACTCTGGACTGATGCATTGGCGCCGGGAGAATTGGACGCCACCACCGCAGGGTCGAGAGCAGGGCTCCCATTCATCCCACGCACTCCAGCCACCATTAATCGGTGAAACTGTCTCCCCTTGCGGCAGACACTGTCCCAGCACACACCACTGGAAAAACGGTAGAAGCAAAGGACATGTGTTACTGAAAGACCCAATCACGACGTTGTTGTTGGACAACTAGCAGGTGATTTACCCTCTTGTAACCGCACCGCGAACCCTCTGCCCACGGCGCTTCCACTGGAAGGCACATTCCGCGCTGGACGTCGTAGCAGTGCAGCTGCTTGCAAACGGGTGCCTGAAAATGAGAGCAACTCGTAAAGATTGTAGTCCAAATTTACGACCAACCAGTCAGCCAGCCAGCCAGCAACCACCCGCGGCCGCGCTCACATTGTGTCCGCAGAATCGTGATCCGCGTTGCCTCAAGGCAAGCGCGCATTGTTCGTTCAAGGTAAACCTCAAGCCTGGTTTGTGCAGTGCCGTGTGCTGCGTCAGTTGTGCCGACGTGAAAGCCGTTCTTTGGGAATTTTGGGTCCGTAAGCATGAGGAATCCGGTCGCCTGAAATAATCACATTTAAGAACGTCGCGTTGGACAAAAAAGTAATATTTATTCTATTGCCTCTCCACATAACACTGGCCTTTTTGTGGAAAGCGACTTAATTATTGGTTCGCACACAAGCCCAGGCACTTACGATAGGAAAAACCTGATATTCTGCCGGCTGCAGGCAGACCATCGGAAGGGGTAGAGTTCGAAGTAAAGAATTCCGGACATAATGGTGTCGCGTTGGATGTTCGCGTTGTCTGTGTCGTGGACTCGGAGACTCAGCTCCTGGAAGGGCTTCTTCCGGCCTGGTTGCTCCTCCAGGCCGCACTCAGACCCCATCTCGAAGTCGTGCTTTGCTCCCAGCCTACACAAAAAAATTCCTGTGATTACGTAGCCGATCAGAGAAGCATTCTAGTAACCGGGAACCAGAACTCTCTTGGTGTGTCCTCAAACCTTCAACGGGTGAGCTTCTGGGAAGGGATCTTCACGTGACCAAACATTCACGAGTTGATGGTTGATTGTAGTGATGCTCTCAGTTGTGCGTGATGCGACGACCCAGTTTGAGGTCTGCGGTAATGCGTCCAACGCTCGATTTTAGCTTTCGAAAACTACTGCGAAACCAAGACGACTTGATCAAGGCTGTCGCAACATTCCTCAGTCTAAAGACAACTTTATTGTTTACAAAGATTTAATGACGGTCCTTACAATGACGCGGGCTATCGCAAAATGTATTAGCAATAGAACCACTAAGCTGGGAGGCCATCAGTTCGGTCGACCAAAGCAGCAGTCCATTTTGGGCCTTTGAACGTGGAATACGCCTGTCTTCTTTCACATCACACCTTCACTTAACCAGCAAGCTTTAAGTAAACATTGCCACGGCGACGTTAAATGGAGGAAGGTGGGTAAATTGGATCCCAACACACCTCCAATTCAGTGAACAACTTCATTCGCGCAACCGAATTCGTTAACAAATTCGTCCTCAAGAAGGACAAATACGATAAAAGGACACTGAATAATCAGGTTCTTGGTAAATACTTAAGCCGGCTCTCATAGGTCAACTTTACAAAAGGGGAAAAGATGGCGTGGTGGGTGGCAACACAGCTGCCCGATCCGATTTAACAAGACGGTAATTGTGCTTTCAGTACGACATGACAGCCTTCGGCCCAACAGCTGCCTTCTGTTCTACTAGCTGCATTGCATTTATTTTTGAAGGAGAACAATTAGATATGGTGGCTAGAGTTATTCCAGCAAGTCACGATTGGTGAAAACGACAGTCAATCTTTGGTGGCCCGTCGATACACCATACACCTGATTTGGGCCTACGTCGGTTGACATACTTGTAGTTGTTGGGGATCCACGATTCCCCAAGATTGGTTCCTGATTCTATTTGCATTAATTTACAAACATTTGTTTTGTTACGCTTTTTATCAAGTCAAGGTCAACCTTGACTTGAATTAGTTTCGTTTTCGCTTTCGATTACACTTCTTCTCTGCACGTGGCTGACGTGAATAAAGCTCTCTACTCGAGCTCTGGTCTTGTTCTGGTATTAGCCTGGTAAGGTCGGCTCTAGCTTTCAGCGAGGGATCTGGTACCGTTATTTGAGTGGCCTTCTCTTTTGTTACGGGCAAACGTAACAGTAGTCTGATATTGTGGGGAGGATTTGACTGTCAACCGACGCCAGGATCTGACCGCAATCGGGGTTAACTCTTGTAAACAACGCATTTCGACGTTCAACAGCTGCGAACTCAAGATTATCGTGTCAATCAACTTGAGCAAAAGGCCGCACCGAGACGAATAATAAAAAGCTGCTTCTACTCAAGAAAATTCCTTTTTGGTGCGCGGAGGTTGTGGGTTGAATAAGACACGTTCCTTAAACGTGGCAATCTTATTTGGTGAATACCAATCGATGTGATCTGGTTCTTGCGTGTGTACACCAAAAAATCGATATTAAGGTAAATCGTCTACCTCCTTGTCTGCCGTCTAGTTCTCCCGTGTTTTAGAAAAAGTGCCAGAGATTGTGCGAGAATTCAAGAAAATGCTTAGATGCACTTACTGGTGCCCGATTTCATGGGCAATGATGTCGGCTGTACCGAAGCCTCTGTCTACAACAACGACACAACTGCTGTCTCGACTGCACATGGCTTGGTAGTGAGCAACACCTGAAATAAAGACAGTAAGTATTGCCCATAAAACTAGAAGAAAACGGTCCATACGTATCAAGGGCATGAAAACTGTTGTTTAAATTTGCTTTTTAAAATTTTCCGTGGCTGGATCCTTCATCGGGAGCTTCCCCAGGCAGTTGAAAAGGAATTTGTTCCAGCCCCAGCTTCCTCCCGTCTGTGTCGATGAATTAACCAATGTCTCATCAACTAATATTTTCCTAAAGTGAACACACAAATTCGGCAACGAACGAAAACAGAGTGTGAGCTAGCGAGGTCACAAGCAAACACAAGCGTTTGCACAACCCTCCGTCACATCTAAGACCACCTACTCCTAGACTTGGTGACTGAACCTCGAGGTCCACGAAACGATTGTCGAAGCAGGCCAAACGGAAATAGCATCCATTCGTATACAACGCCAAAGTTTAAGCATGCGTGTAACATAGGAGCAAACACATCGGACGTACCAAGTGCTGTTGTTTTGAAGTTCCTAAAATTAAAATCGCACGTGAACAAAAACCAGACGTAAGTCCTAGCTACAACCTCTCTCTGTAAAAAAAAACTCGATAGCGTAAAGGCGGCTTCTGGTTGATCTAAGGGTACAATTTCAACCACTCTCTTTTTGAAATGTTCGAAATGTCGCTCAGAGGATGAAGAGAAGTTAGGTACGCGTTATAAGTGCTGCGCTAGCTAGACTACATCCCTGCTTGCTTGAAAACAGAGAATACAAAAATTAACGCCAAGTGACACAACCAGATCCACTCGAGATGAAAGCAATTAGCGAGTGACTGCACTTAAAAAGGACACTAAAGACATTAAAACAACTCATTTTGTGTACGGCTAAAGACGAGTGAGGGTAATTTGCACGTGGTCCATCCAATAAGGCACATCAAGAAAGTGGGAGGCAGTTTAGGAGGCGACTTACCCCACATTCAGGAGGATTGCCGAGTCCCAGTTCATGGTGGGTCTTCGGATACGATTTACCCAATGGCAGAACTTCCCCATAACCTCCTCGTGGTTCTTATTCGACCAGTCTTCAAGGCCCTCCCTCCGCTGCAAGGTAAAAGGCTGTGTAGGTGCCACTTACTACGAAATCGGACCGCCACCAACGACCCACACAACGGTGAGCCCCTACCAGTCAATTCCCACAAAATCTACCACGTCGATTCGTTCGTCCTTTTGTGACTGGAGGTCTGTATAAGTCTTTGTAAACAATAAAGCTGTTTTTAGATTAAGGAATGTCGTTACAGCCTTCATCAAGTCGTCTAAGTTGGAGGTTGGTCGTCAGAGTTCTTAGTTGCTAGCGGCGTTGCAAGTGGAGCATACGCCAAATCACACACAAGCAGCCATTACGGGTGAATTACGCGAATAACCCCCTTCCCCAAAGCACATAAAACAATTATACACGTTAATCGACTCATGGTGCTGATTCCCATAAAAATGTCCATCGTGTGTTTGATTTAGTTTCACTAGTGGAGATGTTAAAGGTGACCTAGAGACTGGAAAGGTCACATTTTGCATCAGCTGTAGGCTGTGACCCTGTCAATATGTCTGGGGACATATTGTTAGCCTCAAAATCGCATCCCCAATGACCTTTTAAGGATTGCTAAGGATGCAGAACATCTACTTTCAATGCACAAATCTACCTACCCATCTCACGGAACTGATTTGGAATCCCTAAAATCTTCTGGATCGCCAACAGACGGCTACAGCGATTAGAAGTCCACAGCAATTAATGAAACCATTGACACAATTTGGCTGATTCAATACCACATTATTGTCGGCACACTTTCTGAACTACCGTGAATCCTAATTTGCGTGTTCCAGCGCACATTACTGCGCGAGTATAGGTGTCTTAGAAGAAGACTTACTGCAAAGTTGGAATCCAGCAGAATGATGTCCACAATACTGACCTTCACCGACGCCTTGAGGCTGGAGTGTTTGAAATTTTGGGCTACCTTGAGGTAGAAAAAAAGTGGCTTTTGTGGCTACCAGTTAATGAAAAATATTTTAAGTACTACAATTATCAATCATGGTTTAACCATTTCAAACGAATGATCAATGAATCGCACCAAGTTATTGGAAATTTAAAATCACATTGAAAATCGATTTTGCTAAAGACGCACCGAGCCAATGGTAGCTACCAGATACTCTGTGAGACGACCTTTGAGGATGAGGTGCATTTTCCTGGTCACAACGACGAGCAACTCGATGGTGTTGTCTTCGGCGGTCTTGAAGCTGATCACAGGCACTGAATCGCCCGCCGTCATGTTGATCTGCATGTCGGCGCCCTCGCGGTAGTAGCCGTCTCTGCCGGGTGACCCCTGAAAACCGCCTGGCTGGGGCTCTTCGTCCAGATTCCACTGGCGTTGCATGGTGGTCACAGTGTTCCTGTTCGACAGAGTCATCATTGGGCGCAGTTTTCTAGGCCTTCGTCCGGGTCTTCGTGGCCATCCTGTTGTATCCGGCAGGATGCCGAGGGATTCCAGTCTATCTGTTATCGGGAAAGACAGCAAATGTCTACATTGACAGACTGCAGTTACCACCTAAAAAGACCCACGTCTCCCAAAATCTCAAGGTCTTGCCTTTCTGAAAATGTCTAAACCTGACTCTGGCATCACTTTGATAAAGCCAACCAAGCTGAATTAAGTGCTGCCATGCTCAGGCAACCCGATTTGCCACACCGCATCGGCAAATTCAAACTTCACCGGTCAGATCAACTTGTAAAAAAATGGAATTCGGCTAGCTGATAATTTGCATCTAGTGGTGTGTCTGGCCATTTTTTGTTTAAAAGATTCTCCAACTTGCTACGAAATCGGACTGCCACCATCGACCAATATGACAGTAAGCCCTTATTCGTCAAATCACACAAAATCGACAACGTTTATTCCTAAAAACGACCACAGATTCCGGTGAATAAGGCATAAGAGAACTTGGAAATCGGCATTTTCGGATGGTGTGGCAGAGTTTGAGATCAAGCTCATTACGAAATGGACGTTGTTACGGAGGCTAGCGGTGTTACACAACCCAACAAATTGAACCCCAAGAACACGCAAAAAAGGCAACGATTGAAAAGAAGAAAGTAGAGGCAAGAAGTGGTCTCTAGCCTGACATTACTTCACAAAAACAAGAAATACGCACTGTGTACTCCGTGTACTAACGCGGTTAGGTGATAAAAGCCAAGGTCAGTGGGGATTTTGTACAACAAAGCAATGAACACGAAGAGCCTTTGTAGCGGAAATCGCATTTTCTAACGTGTGTGTGTGCGTGTGTAGCACCCATGTTTGCAAAAACTTATCTTCGCAGACGGTATATGGCACATAGGTTACACAAAAACGCTGAATTTCATCAACAACTCTCAGTAAGAGCGAGAATTCGAATGTCAAATACTAAAATGTCTAATGGGCCTCCAGCTAGAGAATCCGGGGAGTGCAATCCAAAGGTCAAATCTCTTGAAAGATGTCTACAAATCTTTAGAAGACGTAGAAAATGATGACAATTTCTAGAATTTTCTAAACGCCCTCTTAAAAAATTCAAGCAATCCTACTTGTTTATCAGGACAGAGATGAAGACAGTGTTAGTAAATTAATTTTAAGATTTCTAAATTGCACACCCTATTGACACCTCACTCCTATTGCAGAAGTTTGGCTAGATTAAACCAAATTTTGTTGTTTCGTTGTGAGCACAAATTGGGATTTACCTAACTTAATTAACATACTTGGATGTTAACGCGATTGGTCAGAATTTTTTTGATTTAACAAACGAGGATCAACAACATCTGTATATATTTGTTTAAATATTTGAAAAAATTAATATCGCCTCATTTAAAACGTAGTAGCCATTTGAAATTTAATTGATGAATGAACCAACGCCTGATTGGCTAGAAAGTTAAATTTTTAGGGTATCTTAAGTAAGAATGTAATTCCAATGTCCTAAACCAAATTCCAGTCGGCTTAGGCACAGCAGCGAGTGAGAAGGCATATAACCGACACGGATCTAATAAAAGATCCATTTTTAAAATTTCAACAACATCGAAGGAAAGCGTGAAATTTTATTCCCTGCACTAGTGAGTTGTCAACTGCATTTTAAAACGTACAAAAATTGTTTTAATTCATAAAAAAATCGATATGAAAAATAAAGCCCATTGAATACCCAATTTTGAGACTCACCGAGCATTGTCTTGTGGTTATCGATTTTTCCATGTCCGTAGGCCACGTCGTCGATTGGATAGCTGGAATAGCGCGGGTCAAATTGGGCTCCAGTGCAGATTCGGCCGAGGAGGCAGGAGGCTGCGAATAGGACTAGTGTTGCAGCGCGCGCTATGTACATGTGTGAAAGACTCTCTAGTAAATACTAAACTATCGTGTTTGTGGGAGTGGGTATGTACACACTAGGGGGTTGTTGAATTAATACGCCTAGAATCCCGACTACGCACCGGCACGCTGTTCAGCAATGTTGCCTAATCTATCTCAAGAATTCCAGAGGAGTAGAGTGCCTAGTCGGCGTCTCTGTCATGCATAAATACCCTTGCTATTGAGGTCAATGGAGAGTTTGGCCTTTGTGTTTTCGCGCGTCGTAAATCATACAACAGGCCTTCAGTACATGTGATAACCGAGCGTGATCTGAGAGCGCGGACTTGCAAGCAGAGCGCGATGCAGCTGCGTCATTTATCGGCAACAGTGAGAGAATGAGACGTCTACGAGAGTGCGTGTGTAGGTGAGAGAGAGAGAGAGAGGGAGGAAGAACTCTAAAAAAAGGCCTAGGACACGTGGAGCCGGCTCGTGAGGCACTAGAGCTTGTGGCCCCGCTAGTGTGACGAGACCGCCTTATATAGGCCCGGCAGCATCCAGCCGTGCGCACGTGCACGCGCGCGCATGCAAACAAAGTAGGTCAGACTAGCCAATTAGCCAATCAGCTTGCGGCTTTTTCACCAGTGGCCGGTAGTTGTTGTACTTGCGGTAGGCCCGGCTTATCGGGGGACGTCAAGCCGTGGGAACACAAAGGAAATCTTTTTGACCACCGAAAGTTCTCGCTTTTAAAAGAACAATTTATCTTGAAAATACCTTAATAGAGAAGGAAGTTATGCATACAATAAGTTATCGGTGTTCTAGGCGTTAGTCTCGTCACAGATTCTCTAGGACTTGCATCAAACACTTCTGCGACAAAATTCATGCATATTTGCCCTATTTAATGAAATTTATAAGCACATTGATGCAAAGCAAGTAGAGTTTTAACAATCTTTGGCGCATGGAAGGGAAGATTTTACGATCAAAGCGACACCACGTGCGAATTAATATCGATAAAATTTTTTAACTTACGACCAAATCTACGCATTAACTGTTTTTCACTCTATTGCCGAAACTGGCGTCGTCTAAGTAGTAATACTAAGGCATTACTAACAGCCTTTGTCACTAAAGGAGACCACCTCTGTAGGGATGGAAGTTTTAAAGTGAAGCTTGGCTCTCCAACAAATAAAACCTGGGCCACGTCAGTTGTTAAGAGTTGTCTTTGTGAGCTAACGTCGGAATGACACTTGTGGAGTCCACAATTCTTGAAGGCCATCACGCACACTGGGGTGATTTATGATGCCAGAGATTATGAAGTTAGAATCCGCCCGACCAGTGTAAATGAACGGAAAACGAAACCACATCACGAGTTGAAAGATGCTCGCTTGGTCGGCAACTGGACACCTGTATCCAGTAATTGGATCAACACCAGTATCAGGTGATTCAGCACGACGACGAGCACCACCAGACACTCTGAGATGTCCCTTAGACAACCGTCGTTTGGTTGAAGGGGAAAAAGCGGACAATCCTTTCTCAAACACCACGTTGGAATTTCAAAAACGCATTTCAGCTTTCTAATATGCCATAGCTTTTATTCACTGCGACCTTCAAAATTGTACCAAGTTTAAAACAGATGTACTTGTAGAAATTGCAATTTCCGACAATTTATGTTTTCCAAGTTTAAGAAGTCATCAGTTCCTTTAAAGTACTTGAATACACAGGACAATCGTCAGCTGTCATGCCAAACCACACCACATTCGTGTTAATTGATAAGCCCTAGATTGTTGTTTAGCTGGTTTGTGGGCTTAAGAGTGTGAACTCTATGCAAAGAAGTGTACATATGTTTCGGCGTTTATTGAATTCTGCCTGTCCATTCAAACGAAGACACGAACCCGGTGTTATCGTGAAAATTTCGATGTCTCAGTTGAACCAACAGCTATAACGACGAGTTCACATGTCAACGTGTCTCGGTTAGCTGCTGAATCTGCCCACGACTCAAGAATAGTTCAATAAAACGCCGTCTGAGGTGGCCAGATCTTAACATGGTGATCCCATTTCACAATAAATGCAAATGACGTTAACTCGGTTCATTCATGATCTTAGGCGTTGGGAGGCATTCCACAGACCACTAATAACTTGCGGTGGAAGGCACCTTCATAATGCCGACAGTAAGACGTCTCAGTTCTTCAACTAGTGACTTCAACAAAAGATTTTGCCCCGTTGTGATTCAAGTTAAATTACGGCTACAAGATCGCAATTTTTGCGTGTTGTTGAAGCAATTAAGGTAGGTCATGTAAAAGTGCACAAGTGCCATGTTGTAAGTGTTGAGGTTGTAAAGACGGTGATAAATTCGCTCTAACAACAGCATAAATTTTTGGTGTCACGTGAAGATGACGTGTGGTATGCTTCTTTTCCCCTTTACTAGATCAGATGGATTTTCATAATTCAACAACAATAACCAGATGCCCAATCAACTATCAGTAATCACCTCGATAGCTAATCGATAATTTGGGCTGCTTGAAGACCTTTCTTGTGTCTAAAATATACTGTCTGGCTTTCTCGTCACCAAATGTTGTGTGAAAAAATCAGGTCAAACATGACAACATTATTTGCCGCCGACGGTGGGTTAAATGAGTAAGCTCTTCGTGTGTGAATGCCGGAACAAACAATGATTCACTTTTAGCGTGACTATGTGTATTAAACATTCACGGTAAACCAATGACTGTCTCAAGAAAGTGCAGCATGTTCTTGTTACTTTAAGTGAAATAAAAATGCCTTGTTCATCCAGTCACAAAGTCATTTTTAGTGGATCCATCAACTGCCAACCTAGCCAAGGTGTCCAACCAATCATGCTATGCAGAAATTAGTGTCTATTTTGATAAATTTAGTAACGCATGAAATGACTGAATGTGTTGGAATGCTAGAATGTTCGCTTCCCTTCATTTTGACATTTTAAGATACCACAGCTACCCATTTAAGCTGTGAACTACGTATTCACCTTCAAACGCCACTGGCATTCAATATTTCAGCAGTTGATGCGCTGGTCCACCAACGACCTCATCGTGGTGTCACTGTTTGCATCTTGGTGATCGAAAGCGTCCAGGTCAGACCATTCTAGTTGCCAATACAGCACATTTTTAATCAATAAATATTACTTTCGTTATGGCAACCAACCAATCATCGCGTTCGATTTTGTAAGCATCTAATTTAAAGTAATTGATGCTCATGACTAGACCAGTTGGCTGGACAGTGATCTTATTTCACTTTGATTTCACGTTGCCTGAGAAAATTCTACCGATTGGTGCATTTTACCATTAGATTTTACTGTGATTAAATTTCTGATTTAACCAACGACAGACTATTGTTACGTTTCACCCGTATCCAAAGAACCACACACTCAAACCGGTACCTCAGATCCCTTTTCTGAGGCCAGTTCCCAAATTCCCATGCTGATATTCCTTTCGTGAGCCAACCTGCAATGCTATCGTGCTCTTGTTAGTTAACATAAAGCCTCGATTTTAATTTGAAGACCAACTTAGGGGACAAGCATGCAAGAAGCTTTCGGTAATTGCTGTGATTCCCCAAGAACCAATTTAATAATCGTTTATGAGAGTGGAGACCAATCAAGTTGAACGAAATTAATTGATCAGTGATCAAGGCAAGGTATGGGTGGTTGAGACTACTTGTAGAACACACCTAGCAGGATTCTTTTAGCATTATCGCGTGGTCCCGAGTTGTGTGGACAAGTTATGTAAAAGATGTTCGGCATTATTAAAGTACACGCAGGCATCGGTGGTGTTTATCCAACATAGTCTGCAAGTGATGCAACGCGCTGTAACGTCAATTCGTAATAAAAATTGGATTGCGCAAAGTCTGAAGCTAGCGGTAAGTGATGAATGATTTTTTTTAAATGTCTGACCTTCTGGGAAAGATCGTGAACGCATTAGACAGGCGAATCAAGCTTATGTAAATTAATAAAGTTACTGCTCATAGCGCATGGCACTTCGTTAGTAGATTTCAGTTACTGCCACGCCATTTTTTGTACAAAAAACTGCAATAAACGTGGAGTAAGTACTGAGGCCAGAACACTCAGCATTCCTTTATCGATAAGGTGTGTGTTCATCTCGGTATCTCGCTGTTTATTTATAGCCAAAACACGGTCAAAAAGATGCACACTTGTCAACTTTAAGCAGAATTGTAGCATACCGTAGACTAGCTGAATTAGTCTTGCATTCTGAAATGCACACGTGCAAGTCACCCAACCTCACACTACATCACCTCCGCGTTGTTTATGCCGTCTGGCGTTAAGGTCAGTGGTCTGACAGAGGTGCAAAATGCAGCGTCAAGACGACCTCACTGGTGCTATTTCTCTGGTTTAATCGTGTAAAATAATTGCGAAAAACGCTGACATGACGACGCCGCGTCGATATTCATCTACGAGGGATTACGAGAACGCTAGGACTCAATTTTGACCGGATTCACGTTAACTAACTCAGTCGACGCATCCTCCGGCACGCTGGCCTCCCTATCGACCCTACTTCTACACCACTGTGTACCCACCTCCTCCACGCCACCCGCATCATCCACCTGACAATTCAGACTGTTTTGATCGACAAGCCCTTTAAGTCAGACACGTTTTTGAGTTGTCCAGTAAATAGTTGTGTCTCCGCCATCTCTGGTCTTTCTGTCCTCTCAGGTATCTGAGGTCCACATTCACCTCAGCGGTCACGGCGTGGCTCAAGTCCGCACGCAGCACACACTAATTTCCGACCTCGCTTTGTTTGGATATCGGCCAGATTCATTTTGGAGGGGAAGTCACCTTCCATCACTAGCGTTTTAGCCACATCGATCGTCCACAAGTTGATTTTCAGTAACTCACAGGCAGGATTTACTGAAATCACGTTGCCTAGAAACTATCCCAGCAAGCTCTAGAGAAACCCAAATGACATAAGTACGGAAATCGGACAATTCCCTTCGATGTTTTACTTTTTCCTAAACAACTTGAAACAATTACTCATCTACCACTTGAAATTTTGTTGTTTT